AAAAGTAGGCATCTCCATCCATGGATGACGGGGTAACCTTCTCTTTTGCTTTGTTGTTCCTTGATAAAAATTTGACTTGTGGATGGATTAATGATGATCTTTTTTACTATATTTTCACCAATAGTTGGTCGAGGCGGCGAAATTATTGGACATCTTAAATGGGGTTTATTATTATAATCTTTGTCCTCCAAAGATGTGGACACAATTCAAAGCGAAAAGAGAGGAGAGTAATTAACAAAAGAAAAGGAATTAAACAATTTTTGTTAATTTAATCATTCAAAATATGCACAATCTCGTAAAGATTACAGAACGTGGACATCACCGTTCCTTTTTTCATATTATCCTTTTTTTAAAGAAAATCTGAGAGTTTAATTTTTAGAGTCGTCGGCTCCGTTTGTTTCACAGAAAATAAATAATTTGAAAAATATTTACCTAAAAATGATCGCTTTTATCGCTTGAAATAATTTATCTACAAAAAATTATTTCATTATCGAACACTTTGATGGACGATGAAAATATGTTCATTCATTTTTATAGGCGATACAAGCGATCATTTTTTTAAAAAGTGTTTTCTAAATCAATCATTTGCTCCTTTCACATGTTTTCTTGGGTCTCGGACTCTAATGAACAAGAGCTCGAACAACCATGGTTACCTAGAAATATACTCATGGTGGAAATTAAAAAATTATAACTCCACATTCCTTTTTTTTTTGGCTTTTGGTGGTCTGTAGTGATGCAAAAAGGAAATGCAATAATAAAAACACCAAAAAAAAAAAATCATCACCATATCATGCCCACGCTAAAAAGCAAGGATTTGGATATTGTCTTAAGTCAAGACCTAAAATATGCTTTAGGGAGTGGTTGGACCCCTTTGCAGGTGCACCCTCCCAATCATGCATCAATATAGTATATTCCATGTTGTGCGAGGAAGCAAGGTCCATCATTTATTGGCTTTTCTTTTACGGATAATAACACAAATAGTCCTCAAACTCTGACTTAAGATGCAATGTGATCCCTGAACTTTTAATTTGTTCGATGTGTTACATAAACTTTAGCCAAATGTGTAATATCGTTTTTGAATTTTTAATTTGTTTAATGTGATCACTCGACTTTTGGTTCATGTTCAAGTTATTCTCTAGACTATATGAAAATATTCACTATTATCCTTCCATTAAATCAAGTTCAGGGACAACATTGAATATTTTCATATAGTTCAGGAACTAGATTGAACATGTATCAAAAGTTCAGAGACAACATCAAACAAATTGAAACTTCAGGGATGACATTGCACAGTGGGCTAAAGTTCAAGTACCGCATTAAACAAATTAAAAACTTAAAGATCGAAGAAACAAAAGCTTGTTTTTTTTTTTACATTAAGACTTAAATTATCGAAAAAAAACTGGGCGATAATTTCATTCCTTAACACTCTCTCGCGTGTAAATCGGTCCATCACGCATGCACGACTTGATTATGTATCATGAAATGGGCACAGGTTTAATTTTGTATGAAGGACTTGTGTATCCAATAAATAGAAATTATTTGATAGGAAAGTGAAAGTAAAAGGATATTAAATTTTAAAATTCGAATGTTCGGTAGACTAAATAGGATTAATACCATGAAAAACCCCAAACTGATACACATGTTACAAATTTATCCCAAACTAATTTATTCACCACCAAAAATCCCAAATCGGTACACATGTGATAAATTTACCCTCCGTTAGTTTCCGTTAAATTTTACCTTCAAATTGCTAAGTTTGATGACATGTAACAGTTGACGAGTTACCAATTTGGGGTTTTACCTCTTAGTTTGTCACGAGTTTACCAAATTTTTTTATTTTTCGTGGTATTAATTAAATTTTACAAATGGTAAATTTATCACAAAAATACTAGTTTAGGGTCTTTGGTGATCAAAAATTTAGTTTTGAGTAAATTTATCACAAGGGTATCAGTTTGGGGTTTTTTGTAGTCAAAAAATTAGTTCGGGGTAAATCTGTCACAGATGTATCGGTTTGGCATTTTTCATGATATTAACTAGACTAAATAAAACCAAAAGAAAGGACAAAAACTCGGCCATCACGGATATAAGTTTACCATAGATTGCATCTTACCTTTTGGTTTGTGCAAGTTGTGGTTGTTCCAATCCATTTGATAATTGGTGGCGGCTGGGTTCCATGTTCCTCGGCGCCCTTCATTTTGTCTTTTGAAAAGGTAAGATTAGTCCTGAGCATGACCTTAAAAGGCTCAAAGAGAAAACATGGGAAAGGGACTCTCCGGTATGGTGGAGGCTCGTTCCCATGTTCTTTCCGTATTCCCTCCTTCTAGGGAAGAAAAAGATTTGGAGGAAACATAAGGCCTCTTGAGTGGTGAAGGTAGACACTACGTTAACTTCGGTTGGCTATCTCTGGATAAACAGGTATAATAGCCTCCCGCACCTGGAATGACAAGATGGGAAGTCCCGGCTTCCTGCAGGTCTGTTTGTGCTTCGCATAAGTCTGTCAACCAACTGGCAGACCTGTACTCCGATTGTACCTGTTTGAGATTTTTCGTGATATTAATCCGACTAAATAAAACCAAAAGAAAGGACAAAAACTCGGCCATCACGGATACAACTTTACCATAGATTGCATCTACCTTTCGGTTTTGTGCAAGTTGTGGTTGTTCGAATCCATTTGATAATTGGTGGCGGGTGCCGGCTGGGTTCCATGTTCCTCGGGCGCCCTTCATTTTGTCTTTTGTAAAGGTGAGATAACAACAATATAAGGTTCAAACAAAACAATTTTTCTTACAAAAAAATTGTTTTAATTTTAAACTATGATTCTTGTCTTTTATCTTCAAACGATTGGCGCATTTTTTGCATTGAATCACCCATTTCAACTACATATATAATTGCAAACATATGGGTTGAGATCCTATTCATTTAAAGGATAAATTAGATATGTCGATTTATTTATTTATTTACCGCGTTGAATGTCGATAATTGGAGATTGGAGGAAGCGGAAAGAGGTGGAGACAAAGAAGAGCGACAAATGCAGAATCTGATTTTGATACGATACCGGAATGTCCAACTTAAAGGTTCGATTTATTAAGTGGATATAGACCCCACACACACACACACACACACACACACATACATACATATATATATATATATATATATATATATATGAAGATCCATGAAAACCCTATGATTCTAAAACCAAACGAAATGCGTTATTATCTTATAGAAACTCGTGGAAAATTTTGAGTGACACTTTCAAGATCAACGTTTATGTACTTTTAAAAATCTAAACGTTTTCAATCCGAAATATCAATATGATTTAAACTCCAATTGTTGAAGAAAAATCTAAAGAACAAAGAAAAGAAATAATTTCGAACGCCTTGAGCAAATTGCGTTAGCATCTAATCATGCATGGATCATTAAGCTCATGGGATCGTGAAAATTGTGTTAGCGCATATACTCACGGATCCTTATAATATTTGATTCATTGTCGACATAAGCATATTTTTACTGACATGTGTACTCGAAAATTTATATAATCGAACTTTTTCATGTGCTGATCATCTGACGGTGAATGCACAAATATTACTATACACCGGCAATAGACTAGATGCAATCGTTTCAAGGATCTCGACACCAAGCTAAACTTCGATATCGCCATAAGTTTAGTACTTAATTAAGCGAATTATGTATTCTAAGCATCGTAGCATGACCTTTTCTTTCCACGTATCCACATAATAACTTAGTACAATGGTACCTGAGTTTTCTTCTATATTTCAAATCCGTCGCCATTCCAATTATTAGGTTTTTCCCACTTTGCCCTCATCTTGGATTATATATACAGATCGACTGCTTCCATCATTGCCATCTTATATGGTGCAATCGCTTACGTCATTTTGCACCGTTGCATCCGATGTTATTAATTAAACAATGGATAACGTATCAGTAGTCCTAAAATGGCACTAAAATCTTAAAACTTTCAAAAAGTGTATTCAAATCCCAAAACTTGTCATGAAAGTGTAATTAAGTCCTGAAACTTTCGAAATGTGTAATCAAGTCCTAAAACTTATCAATTTGATGCAATTAAGTCTTTCCACTAACTCCGTCCAACTTAACGAACGGATAATGCTATTAAGTTCTGGGACTTGATATCACCAATTTGACAAGTTTTAGGACTTGATTGCACTTTTTTAAAGTTTTTAGGATTCGGTTGCACTTCCATAACAAGTTTTAGTACTTCTGCTATACTTGTTCCATTAAATAATTAAAGATACAAGAATCTTTCATCATACAACTAGTTAATAAAAAAAAATTAATTTCGATTTTGATTACGGGGTTGTTGGCGCGCTATTTCGTGGCAATCACTCATTTGCTTTTTCAAGCTCCTCTCTCAACCAAATTGAAGCGAAAACGATATGTGTTTTATGTAGATTAGTCTTAATAGACTAGCAAGGTTAAATTATAGTTTTAATTTGATTTACCAACTAACACACTTGTATGCGTTTATGTAGATCAATCCTAATAAACCTGACACGGTATTATAATAAAATTGATCGGTAAAATTTTGAATCATCAATACCATTGAAATCCCAAATTGGTACTCGCCAATATATTTACTCCAAATTAATTTTTTTTTCTCTTGAGAAATCTCAAACCGGTACCCATGACACATTTATCGATACCCTAACTCGAAAAATGTTTCAAATCGGTATACCCGAACCGAATCTACCAATCTTTAACAATTTGGCATATGACGCGGAGGGTGTGTTTGGGTTAGGGTACCGGTTTAGGGTTTCTCACGAGCAGAAATATTAGGTCCGAGTAAATTTGTCAAGAGATATTAAATCTGAGAATTTTTGTGAGACGGAAATTAATTTTTGGTAAATGTGTGACGAGGTTACCGATTTATGATTATTTTTTTTTATGGTAGTGAGCCATTTTTTTTTATGGTAGTTTTACTGGTAATAAGCAATTTATAAGAGCCCTTCTCTTCTCGTAATCACTACAGAAGGAGACGCTCGCGCTCTTTCGTCCCTTTTTGACCCGCTCGTAAGCTCCAACCAACCCTTTTCCCTCACTTCCTCGCCGGAATGCCACTTCGTTTTCTCTCCATCCAAACATGAACTCGACGTCTTCCGCTCCGGCCTCCGCCTCCTCCTCTCTCCGCTTTCCCTCGGCTCGGCCTCCCGGTCCCCGCCGGAGGTTCGCTGCCCCGCCGTCGAGTATAGAGAACATCAGATCCCGGGTCGCGGCGAGCTCTCTCGGCCTCGACGGCGACGCCCCCGGATCCCCTCGCCCCTCAAGGCCGCTCCCCGGCGCCGCCGCGGCTCCCGATCGGCTCCGGCGCCTGGCCTCGGAGTTCCGGTCCCTGGCGGAGCCGATCGACAGGGTGAAGCGGCTCCTGCACTACGCGGCGATCCTGCCTCCCTTCGACGAGTCCGCCCGGCTCGACGCGAACCGTGTCGCGGGCTGCGCGACCCGGGTGTGGCTCGACGTCGGGACGTACGGCGAGCCGCGCCACGGCGGCGGCAGGGGCGGGGGCGGGAGGATGAGGTTCAGGGCGGACAGCGACTCGGAGATCTCCAAGGGGTTCTGCTCGTGCCTGATCTGGGCGCTGGACGAGGCGGAGCCGGAGGAGGTGATCGCCGTGAGGGCGGAGGATCTGGCGGCGATCAACGTGGGCGTGGTGGCGCACTCGAGGGCGAACACGTGGCAGAACGTGCTGACGAGCATGCAGAAGAGGACCGAAGCTCTGATCAAGGAGAGATCGGCGGAGTCCGATTTGGAGCGGCCGGAGCCGGCGGAAGTCACAAGTCGGTTAGTCAGAAATCTCTCTCTCTCTCTCTCTGCTCTTAGCATGGCTATTTTTGGAACGAATGTAAGATGTACATATTTTTTTTTTCTTTTTTGTTGAATTAAAAAAAATGAATTGTTTATGGGAATCGGTGCATTATTTACACGATATTAAAATTTCGAATTTTTTTTAGATTTGAAAGGTCAAAATGCCTACAGCGCGCTCCCTCCCTAAAGTCATATCAAATGTTTTAATTTAGATTTTTATCCAACAAATTTTCTCTTTTTCTCTATCGGAGTTGACTTAGGATTATAAGGGATATATCGAAAGATCGATGAGTCATGGGCCACCTGTTGGTTTTAATTGTCACATGAATGAAGCGCAATTTGACATCCTAAAGAGAAGTTTTCACAATGAAAACAGATAGGACCGCCGTGTAGAAAGCCTTGCGTAGCTCATTCAACATCTCATGATGAAAGACTTATTCAAATTGACATATAAGGATCAATGACATGAGAGTGCCTCTTTTTTTCTACTTTGGACTGCTGGAAAGAGGCTTCTCAGTCCGTTCATGTCCATTTTTATCCTTTTTTTTCGTGTTGGCAGGTGCGATAGCCCCGATGGTACCAGGTGCCCATGCCAACAAGAAGCTTGAGCCTCACGAGGTGTAAATATAGTGGGTGTAATCGAATCGGGGTCGTTGTCCACAATACTTATCATCTGTGCCCGGCTTGACTCGACCGTTATACATAGCTCGAGGCTCGACCCGTGTTGGGTCCGGTCTTGGAAGGGAAGAACTTGTTCCTATATCTCAATTTTAATCCGAACATGGGTTTGACTGAACGAAACCACAGGAGCAACTAGATTGCATTCTTATATCCAATTTGAGTCAATTCGACTTAGATTCTATTTGTAAATGAATTTCAATCCGAATTGGGTCCTATCTCGAGCTCAAATTTGGAAATGCAAATGCTGAACTTATTATGATCAATTCACAAATACAATTGTCCCGGTGAACCATCACTACACGACTCGTTCCTTATTGGTTCTCACCAACCTGGCTGTTTCCTCCTCCTTGGTGTTGGTTAATTTAATTCGAGGATTGGCCACCTGTGAATTTCTAGGAAATTGCAAAGTCCACGTCACCCCAACTGAGGAGGAGGGGGAGGAGGGGTAGGGGATGTGGATGGTCAATTTGTTTGTTTATATTGACTGCGAGGTGGTAAAGTCCAACTTTACAAATTCCTCGAAATGCATGCCAATGAATAGGACGTGATAAGAAAATGTAAATGAACTAATCGATCGAATCCTCTCGACTTTTGGGGGTCCATTTGCCGAATGGGGCTTCGTCACCTTCTCCTCTTTTTCCATTCATATGTTATTTCTTTAAGAAAAAAAATTTCAAATAGTAGGGTTCTTTCCTAAAAAAATAACACATAATAAACCGTGTCTCAAATAAGAGAGTGAAGTGGCCAAGTTCGTTTTAAATGAAGGCCTAAGCTCGCATGTGTCTCTCACATGTCACTTTTCAAGCTATAACCGGGGGCATTTTCTTCCCGGCGCATTTTTTTCTTCTCTCTCTCTTCATCTTGGTTGATCTAGAGCTAAGAAAAATATGCACCTTGTGAGCTGGGGACAAAATGAGTCGGTGCCAAAAAAAGATGGTGGCCTCAACCCTCACGAAATGTGAGTCTCGGAATCCAAAGACAAAGTCCAAAACCTTTTGCCCAAATCTGGCAAATTTTCTATTGGTCTCCCCAGGAAAACAGAAGAAAAGACAAACGGAGACATATACCCCGCAACAGGAATCTACAGGATATGCTCCGAAAATGTTTCCTATGTACCATAATTCAAAGATTATTTTTCTTGACTTAAGATATTATGATTACTTCTAATAAAAATATAAGAACATCTGACACATTTTTGTCCTCGTCAATGATGCTTACTTCCTATAATCAATTGAAATCTTTTGCTATTTTTGTTTTTCCTGAGGAGGTATCACTTCCTGTAATGTGTACTTTTATTTTGAGGTTTGTAGACTTTTCAGGGCTTGATATTACTAATCTTTCCATGCCATGTCGATGGTTTTCCCACAGATGAGTTGCTTCCAACCTAAACCAAGAAGATAAACCCCTTACCATACTAACACCAACTTAATAAGCACAACAAAATCAGGCTTAACTATCTATTTTATAGAGAGAGAGATCAACTGTATTTCATTACTATAATGAGTGTCGGTAACCTCATGACTCCTGAACCGGTCGATTGATTCCCGAGTCCGAACAAAAGAATGAGCAGGGACCTGCCGTTGAGCTCGTCCTACACCATTGGCACGGTCAGCTCTGTTCCGTCAACAAGAAAAAACAAAAATTGCTCTCTTGCTTATCTCAAAGTTGCTTTACAGGAGATCACCTCACATGATCCGCTAGATATCTTCAAATGCTTGAGAAAGGCAATGCTAAAACTAGAAAACTATTCGATTGCGCTGACACCGGGTTTCTGCACTACGACATGGGCGAAGGCCGTATGTACGAGACCCTCTGCAATAATGTCGAAACCCGAGTCCTGCCGGTCAGTACTCAAAAAAATGAGCTCAAATCTAAGATCCAACCTTTTTCTGCCATGTCACAAACGTGTCGGGCTTACGGCACAAATTCTTCACATCTTGCACGGCGAATCAAGAGATTACTGCCCCATTTTCAGTGCACGCCTAAAAAGAACGCTTCGCCAGGCTAGTTCACAAGAAAATTCTGATTAGACATCCTCGTTTTAAGCTCTACACATGCAAGGAGTCAGAGGATTCTCCCATATATCGTAGTTAGGAAATGTCTCCTCAGGCAATCCAGTCCTTGTCTGGTGGATTACGACCACATCCTCAACAAATGTCGCCCATCCCATGTAGGGATCGCCGAAAGATTTAGACATGAGGCCCTTATCTGGTTTTATCGATTTAAGCCGGTGACCCATGTATCTCCGTGCCCCAATTATCAATTTAGCGAAATTGCCTCCATGGGTCATCACAAAAACATCGGACTTCAAGCATACCAGAAAATCGAGGGCTGCCAGGCTTGTCACGTGCTTTCTAAAACCATCAAGCTCCTCCTTCGTGGCCAGCTCCTCCTTTGTCACCTGTTATTTGGTGTGATATAAGTGAGGGTTTCAAAGTATCAGACTCGATGCTTACCCATGCTCATTTAGACTTTTGAAACTTCTTGGTGTGCATCTCACCATTGATAAGATAAAAAATATTACCAAGCAAAGAGCCCCAATGACAATCTTAACCGAATCTTCCATTAAACATCGCAGAGTTTCAAATGTTGCCTTTTTCTATCCGAAATAAAAAGACCATTCCAAATCTAAAACACTATATTCTCATCTGATTGTCCTTCCAACTTTCATACACTTCAGTATGCATAAAATTGTACTTGCGTGTTTTAGAAACAATGACATGCAAAAAGGTTCTGCTTAATAGTCCAAATAAGTGACGGAAGGAAGCAACCTCAAAGAAACTGCTTACGAAATCAATCTCCTTTGATTGTTAATCTTTGCCACTCGCAGCCTATGCACAGTTTCAAGCCTTGATATCATCCACTACTTAAGTATTCTTCAACATACTTCTTTTTTTTTTTTTTGGTCAGAATTCTTCGACATACTTCAAAAGGAAGCATTCCAGACCTCAGGCCTCTATCTACCTTGAATGTAATAATTTAATCTGGATGTGCCAAAACTAAAAAAGAATTATTTAGTAGCTAAACTGCAACTACATGAGAAAAATGGCAAAATTGTAGAATAATGGACAAGGAATATTATTCATGCTGGAAAGAAGATTAATGTGAGTTTCCCACTGCTCCTTGCAAGATTTAATAGAAACTAGCAAGTGGCCGCTCACCAACTTAATTAGAGATTTTAAATGGTACAGTACAAATAAATAAAGGTCTCACCAGATTGGGGAACATGTTCCTTAGCGGTGCCAATCGATTCTGACCACCATATACCTGCCCAGAGGCAACATAAATTTGAGTTTCCTTGGGATAACCCATTGCTCGCAGAATCACAGCAACTTCCCCTGGCTCAAGAGGACATCGTCCTTCCTTCCTCTTCTGCAGGGCCAGCTGCCAAAGATGAGAACCATTCTGCAGGCAAGAGCAACCAAACAAAGTGATGGAGTGCATGTTTCTTTTAATTCCCATTTAACATGAAGAGCCAAAACTTTTTCTCCCCAACTCACTTTATACCGCCGAGGCCATTCCTTTTGTCTGTATTCAGCCATTTTAGCTTTCTCCTCCCTTGTCCCCACAAAATCGCAAAAAGATAAGCCAACCATCCCTTTCTCAAACCTAAGATGAAGTGCCCTGTTTCAAAAAACAGTCAGGTCCATAAGGTATTAGAACCCAATAAATGATTTAGCAGATATTAGGTGATGCGTTGCATACATGTAGGGATTTTGACTGCCAGTGCGGTTTCTCATCCTTGATGCCAGTGAATTCGACATTTCTTCAATTTCAGGGAGAAACTTCAGAGCATGGTAATTCACCCTGCATCTAAGTCTGTTGATTTCTGGGGGAACATTATCATACCTAATCAAGAAAGGATCGATGATAAGAAAGGACATAAAAATACTTTGCGTTAGGACCTCAGAGTGACAGAATATCAATGTATATATGTAAAAAACTGACTTACCCTAGACGATCAACAAAAGGTTTAAGCGCCATTATCTTTTTCTCCTTGATGCGAGGTAGAACGTTGTCAATGTAAAATTGCGCAGGTGCATATTTTGGAATATTCTTCACTGTCCGTCTACGAGACAAATAAATATTCAAACCATTAATGCCAGATGCAACTCTAAATAAACCATCAACCATATCGTAATACTTGCAAATTGAACACAAGTTGAAAAACACAGCTTTTCATTGATATTGCCAGAAGCAGGTCACAGATGTGCTCCATTTAACTCGATGGTTCACAACTTAAACCAACAACTCCCATAAGACGGCCCTTCGTAGTTTTGGTTTATAAAGTAACCCGTTTTCCGAAGGTTAAATCAATCGGTGTAGAACATGCTTAATATTGTCATCAACATATTTTATTTCACTACCAATACGTTCTATCTAGTACTATTCAGTACATAAAATATATATGGTCTCAGAAACCATCAGCCAGAGGAAACCAAAATGATACTACCATCACATACTTCGTCCTCATAAAGTGCTTATCCAAATTAAGGACATGCTGATGAACCATCACTCTATTCACATCATAAGCCAAACTAATCATTTACTCAACAACTGTAAGACTAAATAAAAAGAGTCAGCACATGCATTTGTAGCAGTATAAAATACTACACAGCCACATTTTTATTAACTTGCTTAGCAAACTGAAAAAAAAAAAGGCATAGTTTTCAGAATTTATGATCTGTCATCTGCCAACTTTGCAACAAAAGTACCCTTTTTTACAATAAAACTTAGAAACAACCATAAAGCAGTCTCCATGTGTGCAATGTGTATGTCTGTGCGAGCATGTCCTATACACGCAGACAAAGGGAGACCAACATGCACCTTCACAAACAATTTATTTCCCCTGTATGCAATATGCTTTCTTCACCAATACAATATCAGGTAGGCAATTTGTTCTTTTGACCTCTAAAAGTCTACTTGATATTTAGCAAAGCCTATTTCTTGGCAATACTTCTTTGAATTAGCGAAAAACAAGTTGTAATTGGAAGAAATGATTCGGAAGCAGCAAAACATAGTCTCATCAGACCTAATGCTTGTAAACAGCTCTGACTTATCAGTAAACCACTTGGGGATATCGCGCACAATCCGAACATCGTCTTTCAGATAATCAATGAAATGATCCACATCGAAAATATCCTTAAATTTCCTGCATGGATACAAGAAGATCTATTGAGCACGCAATAAGTTACAAGATACCAGTTAAAGCAAATAAAAGTTCCTCCATAACTCCATCTTCTTTGTTGTCATCCGAATTTCTTCACAAGATGTCATCCTATCTAAGAACATGCAATTGACTAATGACATAACTGGCCAATGATGCATGACTAAGAAGATACATAGATAATTCTATATTGGGGGAGTTGAGCCATTTCCACTTATCAACTATCTGAAGTTTTATCTGAAAAAATTTTCCTAGTAGAGCCGAAGCCTGGAGCCAAGCTATTGAGATGTCTAACATACAGTAACTTAGATTAACTAGATGACTAAAGAAATGCTATTGTGTAAATACACTTTCAAAAGTTGGTAAGAGAAAATGCATAGAATAATTCAATGACTTCCCCTAAATGATGAACTCCACGTCATATCAGAAAAGCCTGAACCAAACCTTGTCGTGCAGCAAAGGTGTTGCAGTTTAGTTAATTAAGAAGAACAGGAAAAGGTGAAAGAAGAGAAGATATGAGTGCAGAGTCCAGACATCTTACGTTTGATCTTTCCAGATCTGATCCTGCTTCAATACTGGTAAAATAAGAGTAGCATTCAAAATTTTAGCAACAGCAACGGCATTGCATATCTGCATAGAGAAATATGAATAAGATAGATTCACATTAAGCCAGCTCTAGATCAAGAGATTAAATTAACATGCAGTATATTCCTGATGAGCGATGACAAACAGCACATCAAATAAATGTAATCTTTTTCCTAGCTAATACTTGTCTAAACAATGCAAACTGTCCATGCTGAATGCAATGCTAACAAGCATTGAATAGTAGGTCAAACTCATATGGGAACTGTGGCAATCAAGAAGCCCAAAACGTTTATTCAACTTTGCCACAAAGTACAGGGGCTGCATTTGTAGATTCTTTCTGCATAGATATCGTAATTGCATAATGAATAGCTCAAAGGACTAAAAATATTTCTTATTGAAATGCCTCACGCTTTACAATAGGTATCTGTGACAAAAGGATCCCCAGTAAAAAGAAAACAACTAAGCAAGATTATGAGTCTAGCAGTATTAACATGTAAAGCGAGAAATCTGAATTTGTTTGGGTCATAATTAACATAATCCCGCAAACATTTGAAAATCTATGAAAGAACCATCCATCAAAACCATCTATTAAAAGCATAAGGAAAAGTATGATGTAATTAAAGTATCCTAATAACAACTTGGCATTTCCTTCTACACAACCCATGAGGGTGAAATTATGCTGGCGTTGCTTGAATCTATTTTCAGTTTTCCTTAACAATCAAGAAAAGTAGAACGAGTGAGTAGTAACTACCCATCAATCCTCCAATTGTTTCCGCGTGAAAGTTCCACTCCCCTAAAATGATTCTATTTCTTCTTAGTTCAAAACGAGAGATGAAGGATAAAAAGCTGAGGTATCTTCTAAGCACATGCTAAGCATACTGAGCCTCAGAGACCACTAAATTTCACGTAGGAAGCAATTCCTTAAAATGAGAACTTCACAACAGTCACCAACTTTGAGGGGCAAAAACTTGGTTTGTGCACTCAACTAGCAAATATGCGAAAACCTAAAACCTTGTTTGGGCCCAAATAATGCAAAGTTCGTTGAACATAAGGATTTACTACAATCGCATATCAGCAAAAACATTCACATGCAAAGAGCCATGAATCTATTGTCCTGGAGTGAAAAGTATTGCCTGAAACCTACACTTGCTGTAGAGGCATGGATGATCAAGGACATCCACCCAAAAATGCCAACAAGCTGAGTTTTCTCATTCAGATTAAGAAATTGATAGAGCAGATACAATACCGCGATTCTTTGTTGATTCAAACCGCCCTCAGCATGGATGAATATGTAGCCATTTGTTTCATTCTCAGGAGGAACATCTGTACAGAGGATAAAAGAAAAGAATTATGCATCACTTTATGATGCTAAAAATTGCAGTTCAAATGGCACAATCATTCCATTCACACACAGAATTAAAAGCTTTCGAGACAATTATGACTTTGTAAGCGCAGCTTCTGTCCACAGTAATTGTATGAAACATTTCTCATCACCTACCCGCAAGATGCATCTAATGATCTAATGATGTCGCTATAACTGGATGTTCTTATCCATCATAGCTGGCCCTTGGGAATGAATTTACCATAAGTCAGTAAGAGATCTTAAAACCATGAAGGAAAGAAATATATTCCCACACAAACATGACAAAAGGGAAGAGAAAAATTTCCAGATGCAAACAAATGCACCTGAGCGGATCTTCACAGGTCAAGAACTATCTAAACAGCAACTAGGGGGAGGAGGACAGAAAGAATATTGTTTTTCCAGATATAGCTTATTAATAGACATCCATGGTACTAACAGAGGATTCAAGAATAGCATATCCCAAGTTCCCTTGCTAGACCAGTTTCTTTAATTCTTTTTAAACTAAAAATTTTCTCATTTTTCTTTGGGTATAGACATGAAAAGGACATATGAGTAATAATGACATAAATTTGCATATAAAGAGTTATAAAGTATTGATTTAAGCCTAGGCTAAGTAGGCCACATACTCGATATTCCACCATCAAGACGCTCTGCACAAGGCTTCCACGATGTGGTTGCGGAGTATGGATTTTCCCAAAGCGAAGTAGGCTCCTTGACCTAGCACAAGAATGCAGATTATTTAGCAACGGCCATTGTCACAGCACATACAGACAGCGGAAAAGGAGAAGCACAAACAAGATCCTCCAACAACTTACCCGGGGGCAATGAAGAACAATGCCATCTTTCCGGCAAAGGTATGGGGCATTCTGCGAGGTGTTCAAGGAGGAATTATTACAGTGCCGGTACAAGAATCATCTATCACTCCAGCTGACCACTACATGTGGCCTTCAATTCAGGAAGTACTTATCGACTAAGACATATGTTATCAATAAACTAACAGGGAGAACCACAATGTGATCTCATACGCTTGATGCCTTGCAAAGGCTTTTGGTTAGGACTTACATTGAATCTACAAAAGTGAACATGAACACGATACTTCAACTAAAAAGACCTATAGCAAAAAGGAAGCCCAAACGCCAAAGCCGCTCGACACCTAGGCGCAGAGCCACAGCTCTTCCATATTCTTCACAATGTAAAGACACAAGAGCAACATTCAGCAGCATTTCCCAGTTCTTCAGAAAGATCGGGTCATTTCATGGACTCCGATCGCGATCGGCCACCAAATTCAGTGTTCGTCCACACGAGCGCTAGAAATTCCAGCGGCCCAAGACGTAGCGAAGGGGACGAAATCCACTCACCAGGTGACGCACGATGGAGAAGATCGAGATCAGCCCGACGAGAGCGACGACGAGGAGCAGGAAGATCGCGATCCTGGAGCCGTGAGGGGCAACCCTGGGGTCGTCAGAGAAGTGAGGGGGCCAGAGGGAGTGGAGCTGCGACCAGAGCGGGCGGTCGCGATCCCGGGAGGAGGAATGGCGGCCGCCGCCGCCGTCGTCGTCGAAGGGGCGGGAATCGGGGACGAGCGGGGAGGAGTCGTCGTCGCGCTTCATCGGAGAGGAGGAGGCCCGGCTTCCGAGGGAGCTCGAGTGCCGGAGCTCTGCCATGGCTCGCCTCGGGCTGAAGGCCAGCTTCGCGACGGGTTCCCGGCCGATCGTCGGCGGCGGCGATGTGATCGGAGGGAGGGCGGTTTCGCGTTCGTGTTCGTGGGCAGTTTTATTACGAGACGGTACAGGTTGTTGGAGTCGGAGGAGAGAGAGAGAAAGAGAGAGAAGGGCTATGATGACCGTGCAGAGGTCCCACGTGACGAGTGACGAGACCGAGACCCGGCGCATTTTAGCAGATCCGGCATTAATTAAGCTTAAAGTGAGCAGGAATTTGCACCCCAAACAAGAGATAGTGTTGATAATACCACCACAAGAACTGTATGGACCGTGCAGAGTCCCATGTTGATAATCAATATTTTTATTTTATGTTTGATTACCATCTACATTGCTTAACTAAATGCCACGGAAATATGTCTAATGATCTGTATTTGAATAAATTATTCGTAATCATGATCTATATCAAATTAATTAATTAAATAAGTGCACCAACGTACGGTTAGCAAAGTTACAAATGACCAGGTTGATCAGATTTTCTTGTGTGGTGATATCTTTGTTTAGAGCAAGGCACCACAACTCATCGGCTCCATTTGAATCACCGGAAAATAAATGATTTTGAAAAATATTTTCTGAAAATCGATCGTTTGTATCGTCTGCAAAAATAAATAAATGAAAAACATATCATCGTCCACGAAACGATACTGAGAATATTATTCATTGACTAATCATTTCAAAAGATATAAATAATCATTTTTAGGAAAATATTTTCTTAATCATTTATTTTCTGCGAAACAAATGCACCCAATTCTTATATGCATCTCTCTTCCCCCAAAGAACTAGAGCGCTTCTATTGTCCTTATCAGTCTTTAAAGGGATAAGTATATTGGAAGTCCTAAAATTTAATTGAGTCCTAAAATTTTCAAAAAGTGTAATTAAGTTCTACAATTTGATGCGAAAGTGCAATTGAGTCCTAAAATTTTCAAAAAGTGCAATCAAGTTATAAAACTTATCATATTGGTATAATCAAGTTATTTCGTTGATTGCACTATTTGATAATTTTAAGACTCGATTGTACTTTCATGACAAGTTTTAGGACTTTTAATGCACTTATCCTGTCAAAAAAAAAATTTAATTGGGTCGCGCCACTGAACCGGTTGAGCCGGCCAGAACCGGAAAAGGAAGCCGGTCCCAAACCGCGAATCGGGCCGCTTCCGGATCGAACCGCTTGAACCGGCCGACCGCCCGGCTCTAACAGAGCGCTGCTGCCGTCGGAGCGACCGGTTCGGAACTTCAGAGAAGGCCCCACAAAAACCCCTCTAAGGTGATGGCGACGAGGGTTTAAGAAGCTCCGAAGATGGTCGCCGAGCGAGAAATCCTCCGTCGCCATTGATTCTTCCCCCCCTCCCCACACCTGCATGCGCGATGGACGGCGTCAGGGTCCGGCTGTCGTTCGAGGACCGCCGCCTCCTGAGCAAGCCGCACCGGAAAGAAGGGCTGAAGCGGAGCTGGGTCCTGCTGAAGCCGCACCACGAGACGATCTCGGACCTCGCCGCCCACGTCGTTCACGCATTCGGCCTCTGGGACTCCTGCCCCGACGGCGTCGTCCTGTCGGTGCGGGTTCTTGGGTTTTCTCTTTTTTTCTGATCTCCGAAACGCGCGCATTTCCTGCGGCGCGGTGGTTCTTGATTGACTGTGTTGCTAGTTGCACTGTGTGCTTGTCCGCAAGGTTCAAGGTTCTAGTGTTTTGTTATTGCCAACTGAAGGAGCGTGACTGGGTGTTTGAGAAGATTTTGGTTCCTCATTGCCCTGACTATGATGTTTCGTTGCTCGCTGACTACTGCCATTGTGCAGCATTGCTGTATGCCTAAATTTCCTTCCTTGGTTTCTTGTTCATTTTTAGATGGATGGTTATGTTCTACCGCCCTTTGAGTCGACTTCTATACTCAAGGACAAGGATATTGTCGGGTTAGTTAACGATACGCCTTGGCTCGGTACCAATTTTTCCGATCATTCTGAGGAAGGGGTGGTTAACTCCGTGTTCCTTTGCTACAGAGTGAAAAAGAAGCAGGGTACTTCAAGAGACACCGCTAAGCTGCGTGATGTGGAGAACGCCTTGGAAGAAATAGAGTTTGTGGAGAAGCAGCCCGTGCACACAGGTTTAAAGCTGATCGCAAATGAAGAGTTTGAGAAGGAGACTGGGGGTTATGAAAGTGAATCTGAAGAAGATGCATGTGGACAGTCACATGGCAGTTTGAACGAGGAAGATGCGTCCAATAGTAATGTTTCCAAGAAGAGAAAGGCATCAAAAAAGCTCGTGGGCTCAAAGTATGTTTTAAATCCCATATATGGAATTATTTTTAAAAATGTGTACTTTCTGTCATATAATCTTTTTCTGCATCCGGTAAAGGTACAGACTTTTGCTACTAGGTAATGAGTATTTTGTGGTGCATTTGTGCAATGAAGGGTAGGATATACTAAGAAGTGTCCATCATTATAGTAAGTGGCTATTGGAATAATGCAGGTTGAATGGTATCATCATCTTGTTACAATTTAACTTCCCTAGATAAAAAGAGAAGACTCGTGTCCCCCCTTAATCAGAAGCCATTACTTATATGGAACAGAAAAGTTCTGAAAGTTGAATTTTTTTTTTCCCCTTAAAATTTTGGTTGGAGGTGTTTGAGAATTGGCCTGTTAACTTGGTTGTAGGGACATAGTAACCTACATTCCAAGTTACAAAGCCCTTCTAAGCTTTATGTGTATAATTGCGCATGTCTGATCTTCTGCAAGTATTCTCTAAATGGAGCCTCATGCTTTAGGATACTGTTTTATTGTATGATGATGGGCTGATATTCACTAGAATCTGGCATGAGGTGGGAAGTTTGTTCAGCCTATTCAATGTCTGAAAACATTAATTAGTTCTTCCTTTTTCAGTAGGCATATTGTGAATGCATATCTTTCTTCCTTTCTGCTGCAAGCGCTGGCTAGTGTAAAGGTGAAAATCTCCACCAACTGCATACCCAGTGATGCATTCATGACAGCATGATTGGGGAGTACCTGCAAGGATAAATACACCTGCAATTATTCATCATTTTATCACTTCTTTTTTAGAGTATTTGTCATTCTTACTATGCTATTTCATGTCGATTTTAGCATATCTAGTGACACGTGGAACTTGACCTCTTCTTCATCCACCTCGCTCCTGTGGAATTCCCGTTCATGTAGTGCATTTAGGATCATAGGATCACTTCATTGGGTTTTCAACTTTTGTTTTATTGCATTTTACAGAAGGAAGAAAAGTAAATTGTCTGGTGTGGAGGAGTACCCAGAAGTCCCTGGATGTGTCATGGATGATACTCCTGTTGAGAAGGAAAGACTGCAAAAAGATGGAGCCACCATTGACGACAGCAAGTCCTCCTCTGGACAGGCTAAACCAGACAAATCGATAACCCCTGAAAATGATGTAACAATTACTCCAGCTGCTAAGAGGTGAGTATTGTTAGGTTAACGTTTTCTTTTATGCATGCTTGCGCGTACAGCACGAGGAGCTGTTTCCATTAAAAGGAGGCTGTAGCTTATGTAGAAGTTCTCTCACGCTCTTCTTCTTGCTAATGTCTGTGTTCTCTTTCCCTCTGTTGCAGTCAACAACAGGAAAATGATCAGGGAAGTGAAGGTGCAACTGACACACCTTCTCAACCAAAGGTAAGTGAATATTTATTGGATTCAAATTTTCTCGATTATATATTTAAACATATTGTGTCATTATGTAGTCCACTATTATCTGCATCAGTAACTCAACTATTGGATGCCATCACATTGTGCTTTTGGTTGAAGTGATCTTTATGTTCCTTTCGTAAGTTTCATGCTGTACTCATAGCTGAACCCTTGGTTACTTACCTAATAAAGCACTTCATAGATATGGATGTACTGAATGCCCAAAGTTCTGTATAGCTGATCTTAGGATGAACTTTTATGGTGGAGGTGGTCCTATTCTAGCCTGCATATTGGTAATTTGATGCAATTTCTGGGAGGAAGACTAATGCAAGATGGTAGGCAATGAAGGCATCACAAATTCCGAGTGCTTTGTCTTGGATGATAAGTGTGATGGAAGGATATTGAAATTCGACCATTACCTTCAGAGTTGAGATTATCAATAGATTATCTGTATTTGCTGATATGGTGCATGAGAACTGCGGTAAAGCAACTACATCTTTGATGTCAAGAATCTAGTTTTGTCCTGTCAAAACTTTCATTGGTTGCCAATGTAATTTTGCTGATCTTCCCAATAAGTCATTATGTTGTTATGGTTTTGCCTTTTGCAAGTTACCAAGTCGAAGTGCTCGCCGTAAAAAAGCAAAGCGAAGGTGGCTGAGGGAAATGCGCCAAATTGGAAAGAACGAGGTAATGCAATGTTCAAAGGCTTTGTAATTTGTATTTAGTTGTGTTCAACCCTTGGAAGTGATTAAACCGCCATGCCCCAAAGCTTGCTCATGCTCTAAACTGTGCAGGTTAGACTAGGTGCCTTGTGCTAATGTCTCTCTGTAGTTGCTTTTGGTTGCAAAATCCCTTCCCTGCCTTATCCCCTCCTTCCTCCTTGCCCTTTCTTTTGAAGATTGCATTCATTTTGCAGGTGGAAAAAGATGAATATCGGCAGCTGCCTGATAAAAAGCAATCACTTGGAAAAAAATATCGGCAGCTACCTGATAAAAAGCAATCACTTGGAAAAAAAAATCGGCAGCTACCTGATAAGAAGGATAGTGAGTTCTCTAAAGAACATGAGCAACAGTGTCAAAGTCAGACCTTCGCCCAAAACCACCAGCCACTGGATCATGTCAATGAAAATAATACAAATGAGGACATAGTTCCTATTGTAATTAGGCCTGGGCATATTCGCTTTGAGCCTCTGGAAAAAGGTATAGGTCAACAGCCAAAACCATATTCTTGTTTTATTTGTCAAGGAATATGTTCTATTTCCATGCTGATTCATAAACCTCTGCAGATGTAGATCAGGATGTCCAGAAAAGTCAAGTTTCGTTGGTAAGTATTGGCTTTTCATGCTTGCGTTACATTAATTTTTGTTTCTTAATTGATATAGCAGCATGCTTTGTTCAATTTTAGCAATCATTTGTTGAAAAATGTTAGTATATTGTTTTTAGAGCGAGGTGAATGTGTTAGGTATGTTTTTTATTTGAAGCGCAATGTTGCCCGCTTTCCCTTTTTAGAGCAGTTAGACAAGGTTCTTTGCGATTCATATCTTCATGTCTGAAGACCTATTGTTGTCAAAAGCTTCACTATTTACCGTTTGTGTTTTATGAATGAGCCCTATGGCTCAAGCTTTCTCAAGCAATGGATGGATAGCTCATTTACTTGTGTTGTTGCATCCTTTTCTTTCTCATTTGGGGCAACCAATGATTTTATGATGTACCAACTTATAATGCAAGTATCCATTATGTAACTAGTTGACTAAAAATTCTACGGAGCATGATACACAAATCCTAGTGGTGTCTGATTATTGTTACCGAACAACAGGTGTATAAACACATGCTTGATTCTTTGTCCAATGGAGCATTTCTTGAATCTAGTTTTGGGATTGTCTTGATAATTGAGCTTTGGGATATGCACATCTTTTGATTGCTGGCTGCATTGAGCTTGATCTACAGCTTTTGATGTTCATTTACACCTGTGTATTTTTATTTTTTTTTGGTTTTTTCTTTGCATCCCTCACCTTTTTCCTGCACTTATCGATGCAAGTATTATTCTTTCATGATAGTTGCAGACTTTTGAATGGAATGGGATCACAAGCAAGAAGAAAGGACAAAAATGGGGCAAAGAGAAAGCAGGATCCTGGCAGTGGACCGATAATGAAAATCTCAACCAAGAATCTTCTCTTGTGACAAATGTTGTAGCAGAGTTGCCTTTAACTGATCTTGGGGACTTCGATAAACTGCCACCTTATGGGTTGTCACCTCAGGTTTATATATTTGTTCAATTTTTGCTTTGTACGAATCTCAAGATCATGCAGTATGTGTGAAAGTTGTGCGGTGGTTTTAATAGTTTTTAGATACTGTAGAAGTGTTTTAAATATCTTTTCAAGCTTTAGATTACCTAGTTGAGATTTTCTTTTGTTCCCTACTGTCTTGGTGTCACTGTGGAAGTTCCTGCTGTTTCATCATAATGTTGTTTGGAAACGTGATATGTCATTCTATATTGCAGGAAGGTGATATCGTGGCATATCGTGTAATTGAGCTATCATCCTCCTGGTGCCCTGAACTCACTTCATTCAGGGTAAAACTTCTGATTTCTCTATTGCAGATGATTTTAACATGAAACATGGGGTCTTGAACATGGGTTGAGTTCATACATATTTCTTTTGTCTCATTGCTTCTGCAGGTCGGGAAAATATCATCGTACCATCAGCGATCTAATAAAATCTTGCTAGTCCCTGTGGCAGAATATGCACTTGACTTGGAGAATATAGACAAGTCCCTGTATAAAGAGGATGGCTCCCTAGAGGTACTGAAAGTGGCAGCTCCCTTATATCATGTATAAAGTTACCAAGCTGGTGAAATTGCTTCCAAATTGGCGGCCTCAATCATCTTTATAGCTTATAAAGCTATAAAGCTATAAGCTATAAAAAAAAATCATCTTTATAGCTTTTTGACCAAAAAAAAAAAAATCATCTTTATAGCTTGTTCGGCTAAGCAATTATCTTTATAGCTTGGGCTGAGTTCTGTTTGGCAAATAGTTAATTGTCCAAAGAATCTATTTACATTAGAGTTATAGAAAGACCAGTATTTTCAGCTTTGCAATATGAATCTCTCATGTTCAATGTCTCACCATTAAACAATGTTCCTGATGATGCCTTGGAGCTTTCAACTGACATATTTCTCAACTTTTCTATTATTGTACTTAATAAGGCATGATGAGAGAAGTCCTGTGCAGGTTGATTTTTCATCACTTATTGATGTCCGCATTGTCAAGTTTGGCAAATTGAATTCAGCAGAACAAGGCATTGGTGGTGGCAAAGTGGATGTTGATGCGGGAGATCAAAATGCCAAATCAAGTGGTTCAACTGACAATATTGGTGAAACGACGCCTGGTCCCACGAAAGGTATATATTCTCTCCATTCTGTTGATTTATATTCCATTAAATCTCAAACACATCTCCATTTTCTTATGTGTTTATTCCATCGGCTTTTTAGTAAATGGAAGGGTAGATGTGTGGGAAGAAATCAGCGAGGCTTTGAGTGCAAAGAAGGCACAGTTGTCTCAGCAAGATAATTGGACGATGAAACAAAGTTCAGGCAGAAGTTCCTGGTCGTACAAGGCCTTGAGAGGAAGTGCTTTAGGTCCGACGATGGCCCTTTTGAGAGCTCAAAATGGAGTGTAAACCATCAATTTTCACAAGTTAGTGAAATTGCCGTATGCGATGTTAAGCTTTAGTGTGCCATTGTGAGTCCAGTTTTGTGTGTGAGGGCTCGCTGATCTATATCGGGGTGATGTTATTATCAGTGCAAAAGATTGACTAGTGCCAAGAAAATTCTATCTATCTGCTTCGGAGCTGCGATTATGACCTTTTGTAATTTAGTGGTAGCGATGGACTTCTGTACATATGCATGATGCCGAAGCTGTGAACTGGCAAATGTCTTCTTGACCTACTTTAGTTCATGTTTGATGTGTACTGGTAATCATCATTTCCTAGTGTACTCTGGTTTTCTTTCTGTAGCACTTATTTTTAAAGGACAAATTTGACGCATGACTCCGTTGTTTTTTTATTTCAACATATGGGAACCCAAAAACATGTCATATTTCTCTCCCTCTGCCATTCCCTTTCAGCCTCATTCCCTCTCTTTATACCAAATGCCATTAGAGATAAGAATGATAAGCGTGTCATTTGATTGGAGCTCTACTGAGTTGTCTTCACAATTAAATGTCGAATTGTGTCGGTGTTTGTTTTGCTTATTTGAGGCTATTTGTGGTGATGTTGTTCGGTTTAGTCGCTATGTTTCAGCCCTTTCTTCTTACTTAGAAATGGGAATGAGCTGGTTCAGCCTACTTCTCTCTTTTATCTTCAGCGACATCAGACTTGCCAATCATCCGATATCATGTGCACGGACCCTTTGCCTCCCTCGCGTTCCTCCTCCGTCTTGCGGAAATGTCGCTTACCTGACTGTACTTACTCGCCGGCCATTTCCTTTGCCTCCCGAGATTGTTCTTCGGATGAAATTATGGACACTGGAGCAAGCTATGTTACCCGAAACTTGAATTAGAATCGATCTGAACTGATCAGGCTTGGGCTGGTTCCATTGGACATAACCTTGACAATACTAACTGATTGACATTGAATTTGCAGTAGCTTAAGAAAAAAGGAAAGGATTCAATAGTGTCCCCTTGCTCAAACCCATCCTTCAAGTCACCTTAGATTAGCTTCACTTTGGCTAACCTTCCTAGTGAAAACTCGGGTACACGCTTGGATATCATCTGTCATGGCCCGACACTCAGAGATCATCACGGTGCAATGCTTAGGACTCCACTCGACTCGCTCGGATTATAAAAAGAATCGGTCTTTGCATCTGGAATGGAGGAAAATATCTTTTAAAAAAAAGGCCTAATTCCGAAAAAAAAAACATCAACTTTAGGTTGAGGACAATTCTGGCCCAAACTTTTGTTTGTCCCATAAAAAAACATCAACTTTAAGTCGAGGGACAATTCTGGCCCGAACATTTTTTTTGTCCCATAAAAAAGCACCAACTTTACGTCGATGGAAAATTCTGGCCTAAACTTTTTTTTGTCCTATAAAAATGCACCAACTTTAGGTCGAGTGATAATTCTGGCCCCAAATTTTTTTTGTCTCATAAAAAATCACCAACTTTCACCATAATCTCAAATCTGGCCTCCCGTTGACTTTCTGTCTGAAGTTACCATTGTTTGAGAAAAAAGGTTATGATGGTGAGCTTGGCGAATCTCGTCCATGACGTCTGTTGACAGGCGATGGTCAGCTTCAGATTACGTCTGGCCAGAGAGATTCAATCTGGAGATATTTTTGACTTACCGGTGAAGTGAAGGAGACGAACAGTTTCACCGTTATTCTTCAAATTGTGGCTCAGAGAATAAGACAATGAATATTGCTTTAAATCCAATCAGCAAGCCACGTGGATTTATTACTAAGGTGGAATAGTCAATTTAGATAATCAACGGTTCTAAGTCAATGGGAGCCAGATTTGGGATTTACGTGAAATTTAATGCTTTTTAACGAGACAAAAAAAAAGTTGGGGCCAGAATTGTCACTTGACCTAAAGTTGGTGCTTTTTTACGAGACAAAAAAAAGTTCGGGCCAAAATTATCCCTCGACCTAAAATTAGTGCTTTTTTACGAGACAAAAAAAAAAAGTTCAGGCTAGAATTATCCCTCGACCTAAAATTAGTGCCTTTTTTTTGGAATTAACCCTTTAAAAAAATAAAAACAAAAAATTGGTGGGCCCTTCATAAGTTGGATCGAAAAGCCCATCCCACAAAGTCTACAATTCTCTTCTCATTTTGGGCCAGCCCGGAACCGTCCGCCACCTTCGCTTTCAGACACGCTCTTCCCTCCTCCTCCTCAACGTGCACCGTCTCCCTCTCTCTCTCTTCCTCTCCGAGTCTATAGCGGGGCACGAGCGCGCGTCGGCTCGCGCTATAGCAACCGGCCACCGTCACGCGCCGCCGCCGATAATGCGTTCGCCCTGACATGTGCCGTCGGCTGGGGGCGACCCGCCTGATATACCGCGCTCGCATTTCGAGCTACGTCAAGGCCGGCCTCGTCGACCGCGCCGTCCAGGTGTTCGACCAAATGTCCCGCTCCGACTGCCGCGTCTTCGCCGTCGACTACAACCGCTTCATCGGCGTCCTGGTCCGCCATACCCGGTTCGAGCTGGCCGAGAGCTACTACTACCAGATGACCCTCCGGGGCTTCTCGCTCACCTCGTTCACCTACTCTCGTTTCGTCTCCGGCCTCTGCCGGGCCAAGAACTTGGCTCTCGTCGATAAGCTCCTCCCCGACATGGGTAAGGTCGGATGCGTGCTGGATATCTGGGCTAGCAACATTTATTTGAATCTTCTGTGTGACGAAAATCGCGTGGAGCTGGCCGTGGAGGTGTTGGATAGGATGGTCGAGCTAGGTAGAGAGCCTGATGTTGTGACTTACACTATTCTCGTCGAAGGGTTGTGTAAAGCGGGGAGATTCGATGCTGCGGTCGAAATGTGGCATCGTATGATCGGTCGGGGACTCATCCCGGATAAGATCGCGTGCACGGCGCTTGTCGTCGGGCTCTGTGTTGGTGGAAAGGTTGAGTTGGCATATGACCTTATAATTGATGTGATGAAGGGTGGTCAAGCTGAGATCACTTGTTTAATTTATAACGCGTTAATTAGTGGGTTTTGTAAAGCCGGTAAGATTGACAAGGCGCTGGCGATTAAATCCTTTATGGGGAGGAATGGATGCAATCCCGATTTGGTTACGTATAATATCTTGTTGAATTATTGTTGCGACAAGGTTATGTTGGAGGAGGGAGAGAAATTGATGAAGAGGATGGAGAGGGATGGATTGCAACCTGACATTTATAGTCATAATCAATTTTTAAAGGGCCTTTGTAAAGCAAAGCAGCCTGATCGTGCTTACAGGCTGATGGTGAACGAGATGCGAGTAAAAGGGTTATGTGATGTTGTGTCATATAATACACTAATGGCAGCATTCTCCGAGGATCGTCGGACACGTAGGGCTTACAAGCTATTTGAAGAAATGTGTCGGAAGGGAATTGCACCAGATGTTGTTACATTCACGATTCTTATCAATGCTTATCTTAGAGATGGCAGTTCTGATATTGCAAAAGAACTTCTCGATCAGATGTCAGGGATGAATATATATCCTGATCGAATTTTGTATACTACTATTATTGATCATTTCTGTAAGTCCGGTAAAGTTACAATAGCTCAGAACATATTCAATGACATGGTGGAGAAAGGAATTTGGCCAGATGTGGTTTTGTACAACGCTATCATCAATGGACTTTGCAAGTCTTCTAAAGTAAAAGAAGCAATGCGTGTGTATGAGCAAATGCAAGCTAGGGGATGCTATGCTGATGAAATAACTTATAAGTTGATTATTAGTGGACTCATTCGTGAAAAGAAGCTGTCCATTGCTTGTAAAGTATGGGATGAAATGATGGAGAAAGGATTTACACTTGACAGCTCTATTTCTGAGACGCTCATCAGTGCAATCCATTTGGTAGGTTCTGCAGGATAAAAGGTTCGTGATAGTATGCATCCTTCTCTTCTCTAGTTTCAAAATCTCCTATGCTGTTGCATCTTTATGCATTCTTGATTTTGCTAGAGATCGTTTCAATTGATAGACTGTTATTACTGGTATAATAATTTTATTTCCATTAATTGTAGAGTTGCTGCATGCAAAGCCCTGGAATACCTCCAATGTTCATTAGCTATGTCTTTGTGGCTGGTCATTTGACTTTTTCATCCAGATTTTGTTAGATGACATGAAATATAAGGCCTACCAAGGTCATTCTGGGGCAAAATTATCTTTCTCAAATACTAATATTGCCATTGTGTACGTCGAACAGACAATCTTCTCTTTTTAGGATAACGGCTAATCGCTATAATATTGGTTTGCTGGACATGCCATTTTTATCGTTCTTTTTTTTGCGTCTTGTAATGCTTGGGAAATGGGACCTGGTCTTCAAGCATCTAGACCACTAAGCCTGAGTACAGGCCTAGCTTTGATTTATGGAGCATCTTCTATGCACTGCATGGTGCTGCAGAATCTTATTTTTAATTGTCATTCTAATTAGAGTTGATTATTCTATGATCCCCTTCATTCCAATGTAAGATGGCTAGGGACATATGTAGTCACATGCTACTAGATGGCGTTTGGCTACTCTTTACTGTAAGCATGGCTTGATATGATTTTTTATCTTTTCAGGTTTAAAACCTGCTGCATTTCCTTCTCTTTCCCTGGACAAAGACGTAATTTTGGCTTCCAGCCTTTTTCGTGACAATTATGTTGTTACAAGATGAGATAGCCCCCAGGTTTGAGGCTTTAAGCTGTTAGTTTTCTTTAGATATGATTTTATGAAATTAGAGCCATTCATTATGATATATTTCGCGATTGCAGTACTTATATGATTGGACTTGCTTGATTTGTCATGTCATTTTGCATAACATTGTCCCCAAAGCTTAACTAATTCCTGACCTAATCATGCAGTAGATGGAACTTCTGCTACATATATGGTGAACGGCTTCACTCTTGAGTTGTCTGCTCAGATTTAAGTGGCTTTTGTTCAGAATAAAGTGGATTCAAGGTGGTAAGTGAATTATTAGATCTTTGCTATTTACTCTACCAGATATCTCGATGACATTTAATAGTTGATACACAAGTGTAAGAGTGCGTCATCTCTTATAATCAAACATCTTGTCAGGTGCAAAGAGAGCAGATGATGCCACTCTTAAGTGGGAAAATCCACCCCAAGAAGGTCTGAGGCTCAATATTGATTTTTCAGATGATATTCCTGAAGCATTTCTTTTGCTTGCTTCCAGAGTTATATGCTTTACGGCAGTGGCTTGAAAAATTGGATGCTGGCGTGTTTCAGGAAGAACTTCTATGTTGTCCTTGCTTTCAGAGACAACCTTGAGGTATGGAGAGGGTTTGAACCAGACTTTTCAGCTGTTAATTATGATAGAGAAGGATTCTAAACGAACAATTGTGGAATTACCGTGCTAGCTCTCTGAAGCAGATTAGATGTTGAGTCCTTTCCGTTATCCTATTGGCATAATGTGCCTGAAGGAGTCTAATAATTCCATGAGGCTGCTGTAGCTACTTTAGAGCATCTAGACTGGTTATCGTTCGTAGAATATGGACCTGGAGCTTCCAGATGAAATAATTGGAATGACAACTCGAAGCTGATGAAAAGAAGTGGATGACCGACATGAAGCTAGCAGATCATTGAAGTTTCTGAGGACTTTCCCTTTACATGTTTAGGAAATGAGGAAAGAGGGAAGAAGGAGAAGACTTATGTGCTTCTGGACATATATCGACAAAAGAAAAAATTTGATTGACGCGCAAAGGTCTTATGAGATAGATTACTTGCATCATTTCTAAACCTTTCCCAGTTCATCAGAACCCCGAAGGAAGCCAGGGCACTTTTGATGGGTGGGCCAAGTGGAGCTCACAACTGATGTTGCAAGGAAAGTCACATAAATTTTGAATATGCTGCTGGCTGCTGTTTTCATAGGAATTGAAGGGGTCAAGCTGAAGTTGCTTGAAGCTGACGACAAGTAGAGTTGGAGAAAGAGACTCAGAATGCCCTCCTCAAGCAAACCAAGAGATCCTTGGCTTCCTTAGGGTATCTGATGGACAGGTAACGGTTTGGAAATCATGCACTCTCTCTTGCATTAGCCCAAAAAAAAGAATAAAGAAGAAAGAATCAAATCCTTTGTAACGAACCTGAAGGAGTTGATTCTTTTTTCTCAGCATCTGTTATCAGTCCACAAGAAGTGGTAATAATGTCGGGATTCGGAAAAGTTATTCCGAGGTAAGGAGATCAATATCTGGTGATCTTGCTATTTTTATTGCTGCCAAGGTCGCATGGGACACTTTGAAGGTTTCTATCACTGTTCTGCACTTAGATCATGCAGTATACTGCCGGGTCTTCATAATACTTTTTTGTTCTTCCTAAACCTTCTCCTTTCTGCTGGCTGCTATCAAAATTAAGTCCTACAGGAAAAATTGGGTAAACGATATGTACCAGCCATGTCTTCCTGCTAAGCATACATGTAAAGGAACGCTGATGTTTATGAGATGCTAAAAATCCTTTGATGATTTGAAATTTCTCTTTGTGCATTTCAATCATGTTTCTCAATAGTACCAATGACTGCGACAGTCAGTTTCTTTACTAATTCAATCCGCATGCCACAATTATCAGGGACCTCAGTTATGTGATATTCGTCTAGGTTATTCGATTCCATTCTCTCTTCTCTCGCTCGCTCTCATGTGGAGAAGGAAAATGGTGACCATGAAAAAGGCAACGTAGTTTTGCTTCTAGGCATAAGGGGGCAAAAAGTATTGTGCAAGCTCTTTAGTGGAAAGAGTACAGAAGATTACTTGCCTCCCCTTCTCACTCAGCTTATGCTTTGATTCTTTGCCTTTCCATGAATCCTCCTCCTCCTTTGAACTTATTATCAAATCATCCCTCCTTCCCCATGTCTCCAGCAACCAATCCTCATACCTTTCCTCCCTGTTCACACCAGCCATGTCCAACTCCCACCGCTCCGAAACCAACCCTTATTTTCGGCGGCAGCTCGGATCGCCTCCTCCCGGCCAACCTCACTGGCCACCATCCCCGGTAGCTCAAGTTTCACCACCACCAGGACAACTGCCGGCACGGCCACAAGTGCAACCCCTACCCCAGCTCCGCCAACCCCGTGTTCCTCAGCGAGTTTCGTCTTACCACCCTCACTACCCACTCCAACCACCTCAGCGAGTTTCGTCTTACCACCCTCACTACCCACTCCAACCAAGCGAGCAAACCGGATTTTCTCAGCCACCGAGTTCTCCGGTGCAGCCACCACTGCCCCAGCCAGGGAAAACTCGCCGACCCAAAGTTCAGGTAATTGAAACACCACAACAGGTACTTACTGCTCAAAGCTCACCGCCGTCACACGACGAACAAACTCAACCATTACATACCCGCACACAACTATCTCCTCCACCTGTTCAAGCACCTCCACCACATCCACCACAAGGTCATCGCCACGGACAGCCAAGCCTACAGCCAAGCCTCCTTGTCATTCCGACACGCAAAACCAGTTTCGTGCATTGGTTTCTCGCCGTCTTTTGCGCAATCTTCTGGGTCGTCATTATCGTTGGTGGCCTCATAGTCCTCATTGTATACCTCGTCTTCCGCCCTCATCTCCCAAAGTTTGACATCTCTAGCGCCACCCTCAATGCAGCATACCTGGACATGGACTACCTCTTAAATGCTGACCTGACCTTGCTCACAAACTTCACAAATCCGAACAGGAAGGTCAGAAACGACTTCAGCTATGTGATTCTTGATCTTTACTACGGGAGCAATGCGATTGCAACACAATACATCGAACCGTTCTCCACTGAGAGATTGGAGTCCCGGCTCGCAAATGTTCATATGATCAGTAGCCAGGTGAGGCTTCCGTCAAAAGACAGTGAGAAGCTCAAGAAGCAGCTTGAGAGTGATGGCTTGGTGGTGTTTGAAGTCAAGGGGTTCGTCCGTGTAAGATCGAAACTTGGGAGCTTTCTGAGATACTCCTACTGGCTTTACAGCTATTGCTCCATCGCTCTCACTGGACCTCCTTCTGGGGTTCTCAGAGCAAGCAAATGCAGGACAAAGCGTTGAGCGATCAGACATTTTGAAGTATTCATCATCAGATGTTTTTTTTTTCACAGATGGTCGACATTTTGTTGCTTGTTTCATTTACCTCGGCACTGGGAAATGCTCTTGTTTTCTTTTCTTTTGCCAAGTCTCTAAGTTTCTGTTGACATTGAACATATGATTATACGTATGATTTTCGCGTTAATTTCCATTCGTCCATGGGGCTTCCAGTGCCCTCTCTTGTCAAAGAAAAGGACATTGCTTAAGGTTTTTCAGGTACTACACCCGCAAGCTCAAAGTTTCTTTTTTGAATACCACATGCGTCACCTTGAGCTTCCAATAAAACGTTACTCAAACCTGCAGAATTAAACACAGAAGCCATACCGGTAACAAGAGCTTAACAATCAGGAAACAAACATTTATTTTACTCCAAATTTACAACATCTCCAGCTGAACTGCATTCCGATCTCATTTCCAAATTGTCATCTAGTAATGCAGCTCTGCTTTCATTTACGTTCGATGAATTGATGATCCTAAGTTTCTTATGAGCAGTGCGTGGAGGCAAAGCTCATCATCGAAAGCTGTAAGGGACAGAAAAAAAATCGATACAACATATTGTAAAGATACAAAACTTGCAATCTTGGTCAAGGATAAAGCTTCACTTGATAATGGGGTTATCTACAATAGCTCAATCAAGAAGCTCTGGGTGATGGTGGAATATTCTTCCTACTTTTTTTTCTCTTTCTTTTTTCTTTTTAAATTTTTTTCCTTCTTCATCCTTCACTTCCAACAGCAAATCAAGAACCAAATCGATCACTCTAATCTGTGGAGCAAATAGAATGACATAATGCTCCAGCAATACATCAGAGTGCCAGCAGAGCAAACCATATTTTCCTAAAACCTCCGGTAATGATCCCTGGAAAAGAAGGGATGTCTGAGGGCTTCATGGGCGGTCAGCCTTTCAGACGGTTCGTACCTAAGAAGACCCTGCACGAGGTCAATTAAGTCCCCAGCAGAGTGATCCACGTGCTGCATTATTAGGTTCTGCCAAGTAAAAAGATTGAAAAGAAAACAAGTAAATACAGAGTCGAAATTGAGAATAATGTTCCCACGATAGAAAGGTCAACTACTAGCTGTTTTGAATAGGACCTGGTTCAAATCTCACCATCTCAGCACAGAAAACATAGGCCAAACCAGATTGTATTAAATGCCACATGGCAGAGTTCAAATGGCAAATGCACCTGAATACACGAGTAGGGGACTACCTATTCTTTAGCTGATACAGTGATACCCACCTGAAGACGAGGTAACTTTAGAACAGCTCTAATGCTGTCCCGAGATGTCGCCCCTTCCGGCCAGTCCAGTCTTCCCCTTTTAACATACTTCTCAGCATGTCGACTAACCAAATAATACCATCAAAAGAGAAATTGGTGAGAAAGAACACTGATGATTCTCTTTTACAGTCACTAAAAGGAATATGGAAAAGCACGCACTCTGCTCTTTTCAATATATGCTGAGGCAATGGTCCCAAGACCCTCTCCATCATGGCCAAGTGCTCTAGATTTTCATGAGTCTGAAACAATGCTTCCCCCTGTCAACAATTGCCTCCGACATCAGAATTTATTTCCCTCTCGCAAACTGAAATTCCCAAGAATAGAGTTTAAAACAAACACGTACCGAGCACAGTTCCACCAGGATACAGCCAACACTCCATATATCACATGGATAACTCCATCCAAGCCCTGCAAAAATGTTATAAGCTTACATAACTGTCTTATATCAACGGGAATTGCCCTCTCAGACAAAATTAACAAGGCGATGACACCCAAGAACCGCCATTACCAAGAATAACTTCTGGTGCTCGGTAGTGCCTGGTTGATACAATATAGTTGTGACTTCTATGCCCATAAGCAGTGCTTCCAAAATCGATGACCTTAATAGCACTTGACTTTGGCAACCTCTTATAGTAATTTCCTTCTTTCGGTGATCGAGATGTAGCCTGCATAACAGATGAGATGCAATTTGAGCACAAATGATACCAGGAACGAAAGACCAAAAGGGAAGATCGTATACAATCCAGTATAAGGAACTAAGATGGCCCAAAGCTAATAAAGGAAGACATACCTTGTAGTCAGGTACTTTCACATACTCTGCCGATACAAATAGTATGTTCTCAGGCTTTAAATCTGTGTGAATGAGGCGCATATCATGCATAACTGCAACATTTACAAAACAACCAGAATAAGCAACTTTGGCAAATGTTTCCCTTGAAACGGAATTCTATTCCAACCAAATCCAAACAAGCCTCCGTAAATATGGCATCAACATATTATGATAAAGCTAAAAGCCTGTATTTTCTTAAAAAAAATTTGAGAATAACAAAGACAGAGATTCAAAGACCCATAACGAAAGAGATTTTGTGCAGCTAAATCTGGGAACTGTGGTGGAAGCTCCAACAATGACAATAGAGACTAAATAAGTAACAACCACAGACATGCTACACACTCCAAAAGCTGTCTGCCAAGTTCCCGGACAAGATCAACTGGAAATGGGCGATAACTGTTTTTCCGAAGAAAATCAAACAAGCTTGGTCCAAGCATTTCAAACACCTGTCAAGACCATTCAATCAGTTGTAAAGTTTTCACCCCATAGCACATAGATAATTCCAATCATCCAAGTCAAATACACAACTTACAATGCAGATATGATTACGATAGTCAAACCAGTCCCGTATTTGAACACAACTGCAAAGAATGAACAGCCACACTAGTTTCATGTCAACCAAAAACAGCATAAACAACAAATCAAGATAGCATATAAGGCACAATGGATTCACCGGCTGCCCGTTCTGTCATATCTCCCAAGCAACTGGAGCACATCTATTTCTATCATTGCTGCTTCGCGATACTTTTTAATGCTTCGCACAACTTTTATGGCAACCATTTCCTTAGCTTCTCTATCCCAGCACTCCAGAACCTGTCCGAAAGTGCCTGCATCCGAACAAGGTCCGTTAGAACATAAATCACTAATGCAAAAGCACCTAATATAAATGCAACAACTAACCTTCCCCAACTTTCCTGTTGATTTTATCTGCAGTTGCAGGGACAAGAGAGCATTCAGTATTGCAAGAACAATATGTATTGTATAGAAACCGTAATCTATAAACAACTTGAGAAAGAAAATAAAAATGAGAAAAGGATGAACAAGATTAAAGAATGAAACTTTTTAGCTGCACAACTGACATTGACAAGAGAGAAAGGGGGTTCAGGTGAGGGTGAGAGTGTAGAATGAAGATGTTTTGTCTTTGCTACTTCGAAGGACATGTTTCCAGTTGAACTTCCTTTTTAAGCATGAAGGTGTGACAGATAAAAAGGATCAAAATGGCAAAAATGTCCGTTAATCTCTGAAAATTGGGATTTCCAAGAACAATGGTTTTTCCCCCATGAAAAACTTCGACAAATTTAGTTCCAAATGTGATGTATAGAACTGACTGTTAGAAAATGAGAAGGAACGATCAATTGACTATCAAGCTGATATATATTCGATATGAAAAGGAGGAAACCCCAGTTTGAGTGTAATTACAGCGAGAAGTTAAATTATCTCCAACTGCAAACATGTAATGCCCATCCTTGTCATCATCTCGCCATGGGGGAGAGCCCTTTTGATCCAATCCCCTTACAAAAAGACTAGCATGGTCCTGGAGTACTCTGGGAGGTCCATAGCTTGTCACATTCCCAAGCTCTTGCCCACAAAAAACTCCTGACTGAGCCTACACACAGCCATCCATTCACACTCACACTAAACAAACATGGCACCGTAAACCCACCCTTCCCGAAAACATGACCCGTCAAGATATTGCACCATCAAAATATCATCAACAGGAAACATATACAATCAGTGAGACATACAAAAACATAAGTCATCTCTCCAACAGCCACATATTCCTATTTCCATTTTTCCAATCAAATCTATTCCGAAAAAACCAGAAATTGAACAACCCCAAGACCAGGCCTTCGATAATCCCACTGTAAATCTGAATTTGGTAATTTAGACAAACATGCACACCTACACATACACGCATTCAGAAATTCTTAACAAAGATAATTAATTTGACTCCTCTACACAATGAACTACCCTTTTTTCAAGGTAAAAATTCGAATTGAACTCCAAATCCTTCGGCAATATTTCGCCGAGCTCGTGAACCTCGCTTCACCACGACAAGATTCAGACTTCAAGGCACGAAATTCATTAGAATTCCAACCCATAATTCCCCCACGAACCTCCTATACACAAACTGCCATCAACCTCACACAAGCCCAAAACATCCACGCGCATCAAGATTCAGGTCTACCCACAGAAAATCCACACTCAAATATCCCACAAAAAGGAACACCCCACGAATCCGAATTCATTTTCATCGCCGCATCAAAGCTCCACCCAATTCATTTCTCAATACCCATCATGGGAAAAACCACCAAAAGAACGGCACCCACAAGCCAGAATCAAACGAGCAGCTCAAAATTCTCAACAAAAAAAAGAAAACATTCTATACCTTGGGAAGAGGTTCCCAAGCTAACCTCGGCCTCTTCCTGGGACGCCGATCCGTGTGGATGTGCGGGAATTCGGACACATAGTCCATTTCCATCTAAAGATCTTGCCCTCCCCAATCGTCTCGAACTCGACCGATCATGAGGGAGAACGGGAGACCCCCTACGCAGATCGGATCCCGCGGAAGCGGAGCGATTTTGAGCCCCCCACCCTGTTCTTTGCGCGTGCTCGAGCGCCGTCCGATCGGTTCCCCGGGGCGGCCGATCTCGTCCGTCGGCTCGGTGGATCTCACTTAACCATGGTTAAGGAACCGGGGTTAAGGGTGTGGTTGGGGGTTTGGTTAGCTAATTAGCATCATCCCGGACGGTCCTTTGCTTTTGGGAATATGCCCGTGCGAGAAGGGGCTGGTTCGTGAAATCGAGATGCTGCTGAGGGCAATCTTGTCATCTCGGGTGATCATGACGTCATCGCGCGCGGGGAATGAGGTCGTAAAGAAATGAGGATACGTTAAAAAAGCCTACGCTTGCCAAAGTTAAATGGATTTAAAAAAAAACGTAGCATGTTAAAAAAAATGTTAACTTCTTCACAAACTTATGGTTGTAAATTAGGAAAAAATTATCTTTAATTGAAATAAAAGAAAAAAAATTTATCAAATAATTGATGACATATCTGATTTACAATATTTAAATTAAACGAGATCCTTTTTTTTTGTCCGGTTTAATTGCTTAGTGTAATAAGTTATATTTTAGCTTATACTTACTTATTCTTTAGGTAACAAGAAATATTTCCAGTTTGCTCAATCCATCTATGTACAGCTAAGCTGCTTTTTTTTTTGTAATAATCCATTTTATCGTATTATCTGGATTCAATGAAATCTATGCTCTCTAATTAATATACCTCGATATTTGTCATTTGAGAGGGGCACGGGTAGTTTTGTCTTTTAGTAAAATTGAAACAAAGCAAAAAGAAGAGAAAAAAAGAGTAAAAAAATAATTTTCAATTAAGAATGGGACTCATAAGGGATAATGTAGTCAATTTAAGGTAGCAGAAAGTGTCGGAAGTCAAAAATGGAGTGGAAAAAGCACGAGTATTTTTTCTATGATATGCTCGTTTTAGCTGATTTTTAATAGTATATACTTGAGCCTACTTTTTCCCTCTTTTCTTCGGTGACTTTTCCCTTCAATGCCCAACAAATACCAAATAAAGCCCATCCTGCAACAAGTGCATCTATTACAAGCAAGATTTTATATTACTCTTGCAAATAAATTAAATTCACTATGTAAATATTTCAGTTCGAATAATCAGGAGAATAATCACGTGTAGAAATGTATACCGACATATGCTCTAGACATGAACTTGTACGTTGGGCGGAAATAAATGATAAAAACAGCTATTTTCCCTAAAACAGATAATTATCAATAAGAAAACGAGCATCGTAAAAAATTTGCACAGTCATTTGCTCCTCAATATAATGGCACATCGCGTGAGAAAATTTATATAGATAAATCTAATTAATTATAGTTAAAAGACAGGTCATTAAGGTGAATAGATCGTAATAATGCTTCACAGTGAGTTGTAAATATTCATCTCAAATCAGGATACAATAAATCCACATCATCAAATAACGATAACACTTTAACTCCCTAATTTTTTTTTTCCTTTTTTCTAAAGTAGATGGATAGAAAGATGAACATGTTGACTCGTCGTTTTTAAAAATATTCAACTCGGCATATGATAATCAACGTCATCAGATAACGTCGATCTATCGTTTGAGCGAAACGAAAAAGACCACATCGAACGTCTGCTAATAGTTCAAGGACCGTATTGAACAAATCAAAATGATAGGGGACGACATTGCACGTTGAATTAAAGTTCAAGACTATACGTGCCATTTCCACCACAAAAAATATATAGGCCCAATACAGAACTGAAAGCCCATCAAGGCCCAACTATAACACGTTGGGCCCAAAAGCCCACCGAGAAGAATCTCCGAAACCTGACCAGATAAGAATCAGCCACGCTTAGGTCAAACCGAAGAACGCAGAAGCCGAAAGGGTGGAGAGGCGATCGGGGGCGGAACCAGTAGATCGGCGACTTCGAGATCGACGAGCCACCGGAGTCGAGAGCAGCCGCCGCCGCCGACCGGCCGGCGAGACGGTGCTCCTTACCGGCGCCTTCAACGCTCGTCCGCGTCATCGATAGCCATCCGAGGGCAAGGTTTTCCAAAGGAAAGGTAAAAAGCCTTCGGTTCTTTGAGGAAAGCGGGTCTGATTCGTCGATTTGCACGCTTTGCAGGTGTCGAGAGACGCGGTTAATTTCGGATTCTCCTTCTCGTTTGTCGGTGTGCATGCCATGTGCGTGCGTGCTTTTTTTTGTGTGGTTTTTTCCGTCTATTGCGACGAGGGAGTAGCGGCGGCGACGCTCGCCGCGGAGTTGGTCACCGCCGTGAGATCTCGCCGCAACAGCATCCGATGGCGGCCGTGACTGCTGCGGCTGCTATTTTAGCACCTTGCGAGAGGCCAGCGAGTGAGGCGGGGCTGCGAGCAGTTAGGATTTGATCTGATGGATAGTTGAGCAGGCTAGGGTGTCTTTTGTTTTAAGCTTGATTTCCACATATGCCATCCTTGAAAATCTATGTGAAATCTGATCCCGAATAGGCTAGCTCTGTGTCGATTTTGAGTATATGATATTGTATCGCGTGAGGAATTGCCAGCCCTAGATGAAAGTTCCATGCTTTGATATGGGGCCTCTAATTGTCTTTTGACATGTGATTGAAGATGGAATTGCGATTCGCCTATACTGTTTTTTTTTCTTTTTTGTTCTCTGAGCTCTTTTCTATGTGATGATTTCCCTTAGGTAGGAATTTCGAGTGAGACATGTACAACGGAATAGGGTTACAGACCCCGAGAGGGTCTGGGACGAATGGGTACATCCAGACCAACAAGTTCTTTGTGAAGCCGAAGACTGGGAGGGTCGCTGAAAACACCAGGGGGTTCGAGGGAGATCAGGGCACAGCTGGTGTCTCCAAGAAGCCCAACAAGGAGATCCTCGAGCATGATCGCAAACGCCAGATAGAGCTTAAGCTTGTTGTGCTTGAGGACAAGCTCACTGATCAAGGATACACTGAAGCTGAGATTGCAGAGAAGCTGCAAGAGGCCAGGAGAACTCTGGAAGCTTCCTTTGCTTCTGAAGCTAGTGGAGGGCCTACTGCCATTGTGACTACTGAAAAGAAGTAGATGTTCTCTCTCTCTCTCTCTCTCTCTCTCTCTCTCTCTCTCTCTCTCTCTGTGGTTGTGGGCGGGGCGCGATGTGTGTGTGGACATGAAACGACTTTCTGAAAGTTTAATTCGCAAACAGCTGATACTAATGTGGAGGATGATCATTCTTTTGGGATGAGTCGGTGTTGGTTGGTGTGAAAAAACTTCCTGATGTTGAATTACAAAAACTAGCGAGAGGTTTCCCTCTCTTTGCTCCTTCTTAGGGCGGAGTTACATGACCGAAGATTGTTTAATGTACGCCGTATTGATCCATCTTTAACTCTGAATAATCTGGAACAATGCTGCATATGCTTGATTTAACATGTCCTTGTACAGTCGAACAGTCATTTGTTGTATGAGTGTCTCGTCTTATCTGTATTCGTTTGCACAGGACAGGCTGGTTTAGATTCAATCCGTATATTTCATATTTTTCAAAAGGTCTTGTCTCATCTGTATTCGTTTGCACAGGACAGGCTGGTTTGGATTCAATCCGTATATTTCATATTTTTCAAAAGGTCTTACTCAAGGAACCCTCAAGGAAGCGAGCTTGCCCATACTGTAGCTAAATGGATGTGCTAATAACTCATTTCTGGGCCTAGCTTCTCACCTTGCTTGAGTAACTAGTTGTGCTGGTTGCTCAACTCTACTGTCTAGAGAAGGGGGAAAAAAATATTTGCTTGAATTGAACTCTCCCGTGGCGTGGGATATTGTTTTAATTCCTAAGATATGTCTTGGACTACAATTGGCTTTTTCTTATCAAGGGACTTCTGAATTGATCACTACAATTTTTTCCAAATTATATTACTCTAGTTCATAGAATTGCTGATGCTTCTGTCGTCCAATTAACAAGCAAATTTCGTAATTTACCTTTTATCACAATGCAACAACTAACCTCTGGTATAATCGTGGCTTGATCAGGTTTTCTGATACACAAACACACCAAATTGCTGCTAGAAAAGAGAAGCAGATGGAAACATTCAGAGCTGCTTTGGGTATAGGGTTGACTAAGCAAAATTCTGAGGAAATTGATGATGAACCTAAAGTGGGGCAGAAGATTTTGGAGCAAGAGAGACCTGAACATGCTTTCCTGGATAGAGATTACAGTTCGAAAAAACAGGCAGAAGAAAAGTCGAAAGTTAAAATAGATGATAAGAGAAATAGTGCTAGGGATGTGAAGCATAAGAAAGACAATGGTGATGATTCTTCTGATTCAGATGATATTAGGAAACAGACAAGAGCAACTGAGAAGAAGCATCGCAAACATAGCCGGAGAAGTGACTCAGAAAATGATTCTGAGGTAGAAAATGTTGATAGGAAGCACAAGAAACAAAAGAGCAAGAGACGCAGGAAGTATAAGTCTGATGAATCTGACTATTCTTCTGACAGTGATGATGACAGTGATGATGTTGGCAAGATGCGGTCCGAACTGGAATCTCGGAAAAATAAGAAATCTCAGAAGTATGAGTCAAGCGAGGATGATACTTCTGATGAGGGCTTTTCAAAGCGTCAATCGGAGAAGGGAGAGCGTCATATCAGAACTGGCAAAGATGAGGACTCTGAGCACGAGTCTGATATTGATCGTAAGGTGAAAACAAGGACAGGTGAACCCGGAAAATTGAATGAGCGAAGTGGAGGTCGTAGAAGAAGTGGTTCTGATTCTGAGAATGCTAGAAAATTGGGTCATGACAGAAGAAGGAAAGGCGGCAGGAGGCATGATGAAGACAGTGATAGTGAATCTGATGTAGTCAATGTGGGAAAGCATAAAAAGTTTGGTGAAGTGAGGAAGCAGAGGAGGAATGATACTGATGATGATTCAGATTCTGGGAGAGAGAAGAAATTAGATAAAGCTCGGAGTCGGAGACACGACTCTGATGAGGGGGACTCTGATGGCAGTTTTGGTGGGAGAAGAAAACAAATGGCAAGGGCACCAGTTTCTTCAGCAGATGACAGTGTCAGTGATGATTCTAGTGAGAGTGGCAGTGATACTGCCTCTGGCAGTAGCACTGATGGTCACAAACGTGCAAAAGCTAGTGATGATACTGGCAAGAGTATACATCATGCTGATGTCAAGAACATGGCTGGCAATGTGCCTAATCGAGAAGGAAAAGGGTTGAGATCTGGAGATAAAAGTGATGACAGATCAAGGAAGGACATTTTTAATGGATCTTGGGATAAGACTGACAAAAGAAAGAGGGGCAACAGTTTGGATGGTAACACCAGGGATGACTTGCAAGAATCAAAATCTCGGGACATTTTGAGAGAGGGAGATCATGGCTTGGAACATAGGAAGGATAAAAAATCCGAGGCTGAAGTGAAGGCAAGAACAAATAAAGAGGAGAGAGATCAGTTTGTTGATTACTCTCGATCTCGTAGATCTGGAGGAAGGCATGAAGATTGGAATGACATGGGAGGTCGAAGTTATGAAAAAGAGGATCAGTTACAGACGAGTAGGAGGAAAGGCAATGATGACTATGAGGAAAAAGAAGGAAGATGGCGTGACAGAGATGAAAGGGAGGAAAGAGAAGGAAGGCGGCATGACAGATATGAGCGTGAAGGAAGAGGGCGTGACAGAGATGAAAGGGATCGTGAAGGAAGATGGCGTGACAGAGATGAAAGGGATCGTGAAGAAAAACGGCATGGCAGAGATGAGAGGGAACTTGAAGAAAGATGGCGTGGCGGAGATGAGAGGGCACGTGAAGAGAGATGGCATGACAGAGATGAAAGAGAACGTGCTGGAAGAAAGCACATGAGAGATGAAGAGGATAATTATTCTGCAAGGCATGATAGAGATGAGCAGCCTTTTAAAAGTAGGAGATATGATGTAAGGGAGGAGGAAGGACGAGAAAATGTAGCTTCTGGAGAAAATAATGAGAGGCAGGGAAAACATTCCGGGGAACAGAAGAACGCTTGGAGAGAGGATGAGCGACCTTCTAAAAGTAGGAGATATGATGCAAGGGAGGAGGAAGGGCGAGAAAATGTATCTTCTGGAAAAAATAGTGAAACGCAGGGAAAATATTCCGGGGAACAGAAGAACACCTGGAGAGAGGACGAGCGACTTTCTAAAAGTAGGAGAAATGACGCAAGGGAGGAGGAAGGGCGAGAAAATGTAGCTTCTGGAGAAAATAATGAAAGGCAGGGAAAACATTCTGGGGAACAAAAGAACACTCGGAGAGAGGATGAGCGACTTTCTAAAAGTAGGAGATACGATGCAAGGGAGGAGGAAGGGCGAGAAAATGTAGCTTCTGGAAAAAATAATGAAAGGCAGGGAAAACAGTCCGGGGAACAGAAGAACCCTCGGAGAGAGGATGAGCGACCTTCTAAAAAAGTAGGAGATATGATGCAAGGGAGGAGGAAGGGCGAGAAAATGTAGCTTCTGGAGAAAATAATGAAAGGCAGGGAAAACATTCCGGGGAACAGAAGAACCCTCGGAGAGAGGATGAGCGACCTTCTAAAAGTAGGAGATATGATGCAAGGGAGGAAGGGCGAGAAAATGTAGCTTCTGGAGAAAATTATGAAAGGTGGGGAAAACATTCTGGGGAACAGAAGAATACTCGGAGAGAGGATGAGCAGCAAGGATATAGAGATTACCATACAGACAGTAAAGTGGATGCCTCCAAGAGAGGTGGCCGATATGATGGTTCCAGGTCCAGTGGGAGGAGGTCGGAGAATGATAGGGGGAACACCGGAGCAGGCATTAGAACTTAAGATGTTTGCACCCGTGGTGAGTTGAATACGAGCCTTCCACCTCTCTCTCTCTCATGTTGTTTTTTGAATCCACCTCTCTCTCTATCTCTCATGTTGTTTTTGAATTATGCTGTTCTAGCAGAATCGAGAATTCACCATTTGAGAGCTGATTCGGACCTGGAATTGGAGAAAGGATCTGCTCACTGCCTATAATTGGAATTCCATCGCGTGGCAATGTTTTCTGTGTGATATCACTGTTAGTGTTTGTGTAGATGCTTTTATCGAATATGATCTTGCTTGGTAAAGCACTTTGGTAGGGGATCGAGCTTTGCGTCCTCGTACTCTTGCTGTTGTTGAGCTACAAGTATCTGAGTATTTGTATTGATAACATCGAATATTTCATATCCTAAGATGTAAGAATATGGTTATGTTTACTTCTTTTTTTCTACTACTGCCATTGTGTATGAAGATTTCGGCAAAGTCTTTGCCGTGAATGTTTCTATCATTATTATGCTTCTTTTCTCCATATAATGTAAGTAAGTAAGACGAGTCTAATTAACCGGGGAAGTTCCCTTTAGGGCTTGGTTGATGTTAGCCCTAGAGTTTCGTCGGTACTGGGGCTTGTGTGGCCTATCTGTAACTGGGCAGGCTCAACTCATGTGGTCTTTATTTTAATGTGTTGATGCTCGTACGCCCTAGTCCCCTCTGTTGAGTTAGAATCTCTTTCTTGCCCCGACCTTGGCAATATCCAAACTTATTTTTACATCTTGTGGTCCAGATGCGCTCTTTTAAGGACATACAGGGTTCGTATTCATGACGAATATAATAATGGAAGTTCTTCAATGGTTGATTTGAGCACATTTGGATGAAGGGACCAAAATCGTGAATTAAGTGCATGCCGTCTTATCCTCTTAACCTGCAACGTCTGTTCTCAAAAGAGCTAAAATGTACAGCCCCAAATTCTGGAGTTCACGCAGTCACTTTTTTCCGTAGACAATGGAAACTGTTCACTAGAGGATCAGCAAGCTAGATAGGTTGTCCATGTCCTACAGCAAAATTGTGCAGATCCTTTCGGATGTAGTTTTCGAGAAATTAGAGAAGAATACAGTCCACGGCATCCTTTCCAAAAAGAATCTGCCGAAAAAGAATCGAAGGAATGTCATGGGATTATTTCTAAGCAAATGAGGTTACCTCGGATGCAATCTACCGGGCTCTAGAATGATACAGGCACAATCAACGAGACTAAATGGATTTCTTGGGAGATCCTCGGGATTTTGGAGAGGCGTGTGAGAAATTTTATCTAAATAACACGTGTCAAAGTGACTCCAGTCATGACCCTAATTTGGATGTGCACCATGTACTCATCAATAAGTGAAGGAATCTTGATAGATTGTCAATTTGTGTGGGTTATGCTCTGTAATAATATGAAGGAATTTCCCACTTTATTGTATTAGTGTTACTTTATAATTGTCTACTTTATATAAGAGAATTTATTTCCATGATGTATCATTGAGAAATGGCCATGTGTACGGGCCACCTAAGGTCTTCTATAATTCCTAATGCCCTTGCCTTCGGTTATAAAAGGCGAGGAAGAATTTGAATAATATCGGCGTGAATTTTCCCAAGAAAATCTTCACATTCTCTCTGTCATTCGAAGGATAGGAATAAATCTTGGATAAGGTGATGCGTTTGCACTTGATGAAATAAGTACGCTCTCACACTTGCCACTTCAAATGGATCTTATGAATCAGGAAACTAAACTAATACTGAGACTTTTAAGTATCGAGACACTCATCTTGATAAGATTTGAAAACTATAAGATGATCCGAAGATAGGGCTTATGTGTATTCATTCAATCTTTCACTTTTGAATTTTGCTGGCTCATCAACATTTATGTTCCAATGTCTACTTGAACCATACGAGGAGTTGTCAAGGTCCAACTAGAGCTTTATGTAAATGAGTGTTCTGAGGTTACCCTGGTCTTCCCCTGTAGCGTCTTATGCAATTAAGCTTCGAAGGAAAGGTAAACTCATCCGGTCGAAATGAAAAGCATCTTCCGGTCCCGTTGCCTGCGCAAACCATCACCGATTATAGTAAATCCAATTTTCCATGTCCCAAGTCCAGATGAGGGAAAACAAACGGTCCTCTAATCTGTATTAGAATTTACAAGTAAGCAAAAGATGGAAAATGTCGTTACATTTGACAGCAAACCACAGCGGCCACGGGTTTCATTTCGTCGTCTGTCTTAGCTGATTTCGATTGGAAGAACTGATCCTTACGGGGAGCGCTGAGCTGGCGTCAGTGTCGCTAAAAAATTTGTCACTTGAAACCACTGCTTCGTGAACGTTTCGTTACTTTAAATCACCATAACTGTAGTTTTCAGAGTACTATAAAAAGGGTTCCGAAAGCTCCATCTCATTAGAGTTTTGCTCCAGTGTCTCAAATCTTTGAACACCCACTAAGTCGAACCCAAGCCACTGCCAAGGCCAACATACATATCTTGGTCCCCTGCGGTTCCTCCTTGCTTCTCCCTGCAGGTCGGACTCTTCAAGCTGACGGGTTAATTCCTCTACTCTATCTCTTAGTCTTGACGCCCTCAGATCCGCCAACCTCAGTGATTTCTCAGCTGCATCTCTCGCTGCCATGGCCGCCGCCGCCGTCTCTTCTTTGAATTTTAGCTTTTTCTCCAATTCCAACATGGCCTGCTTTGCCTCTTCAAGTTCTTGCTTGAGAGCAAACAACTGCAGGCATATAAACTCAGCCTGTTAAAACAGCGAACAAGAAATTTAACTAGAAAATAACAGGAAGTAACAGAAACCTAGTTGCATCTTCATCAAACATTTTGGAGGCTAAATTTTTCCCACAGTTCCCGAATCAGTTAGAGCTACTATATTCAGCGGACTTAGAAAGTCCCCTCAGGATCTTGAACTTGAAATGATAGAGAGCAAAAAGACGTAAATTCACTTAGTTGGCCTGTCTTCAAGACGTATAAGTGATTTGTTGGAGTTCAGCCAAAAAGGATAGCAAACAATTTGCGATTGGCCCTTGCTATATCCAGCCCATCACCTTCAATGCAGGTTTTCTGGTAATCACAGAGTAGAAAGTTCTACCAACATTTCTAAGGTTCAGGAGTATTTGATAGAATTAACTTCAATTGGCATAAGTAAGCAGAGATCTCTGACTACCATTCCCCTGCCCTACCTGTATTGACTTGAGTGTCTCATCCACGAATTTATCTTTTTTCCATCAATCACAATCACACCCCTCATCTATCCGGTCTTTCCCTTAAAAGTTAACTTTCACAAATAACCATCATCTCTCACAACACTGCCATAAGCCAAGAAGCACTAATGCTTCTTTTGTTTACAGAAGATCCTGGGACCTAAACTACATGAAAAAAATGCAAGAAACATCCACCGTGCTCAATACTCTGAAATAGAGCTCCGTCCATGGTTGATTAACTCATACAGTAGCAGCCCATGTGAAGGAGTTGTTACTTGCCCTAAGAAATTCCGAGGAAATTCGGTGCTCTTGATTTAAGTTTAGCATGTTAGCAAGCTAAGTATACTATACAACTTTCCCGATGATCCACGGTACTTCCTCTACACCTTAACCCTTGGACTTTAAGTCATACTTCGAAAGTTTCAAAACCACAACACTCAACTGCAGAACACATTCAAACGATGCGATTGTGACAAAAATTCTCGCTACAAAGATGTACTGCTTGTGCTCACGACTTAATAGTGAGAAACACATGCTGAGTATAACGCGGCCATCTTGAGAACAACGGAGAATGATGGAGACTTATCAAATATGGAAATTTGGAATGCTTAAATATAATTTAGGAGCGAGAAAATGTTGACTAAATTTTCTCAATGAAAGCCTTCATGCTGCAAACTTACGGTACTTAGTCATAATACCCATGGGCAAGATATAATACTTTAACTGTAGAACCTAACGTCAAATACGAAAGACCCACATCAGTGGCACAATTTGGCAGATTTATGCACTACTGTCCATCTATACCAGTGGGTGGCTTTGCTATAACATAAGGAGTTCCTGGCGTCAAGAAATTCAGCATCCACCTCTCTGAAATTTAATCCATGAAAATACTAATCTCAGGCCATCAATCTTGATTACATGCAAGACCATTATTTAGTTTCATCAACCCATAGACCTTGATTTTAAGACCCTAGCACCACTAATTATAGCTAGGATACTATATTGACTTGGCTACTGTGCTGTACGTATACTCCAGTCTTCCCGCTGGAAACATTTAACCATGTTCATATGAAAAAGCACATAATATACCTATTATAAACACTGACCACTCGAATTCACAAGAAAAGGGTGATCAACGTAGAAAGCAAACCTCTACAGTAAGCTCCTTCTCAACAGATTTTCCAGCATCAGCTTCTTGCTCTGCTGCAACTTTCCATCTAGCAATTTCTTCTTCAGCGGTAGCAATATCCATCATAAGCCCTTCAATCTATGGAAAAAAAAAATACAGTTATCAATCAAGAAAGTACCATTTTACTTATAACATTGCGTAAGATAAGAATGAGAAGTTCAGTAATAATATATGATCCCAAAGGACAGAATACATAAGTAGTGCCTCGAAGTAAAAATAAATAACTCACACTTTCATTTGCCAATCTCTCCTTCTCTTCAAGTTCCTCAATCTGATGCTTTCTAAGATTGAGCTCCTTTGCCTGTGCCTCAACATGCTCTTTAAGTAAACTCGACTCTGCCCTTCATCCAGCGAAGCAATACACAGAACAGAATAGTACCTGATTAGTACCTTGTGTCAAAAAAGTACCTCTCCTGCAATTCTATCACCCCCTCCCTTGTGTATCTGACCTACCTAGAAAGCTAAACGAATAGGAAGAACAACAATAGCATAGAGACCCCAAACTCAAGGACTGAACTAACATGCACGAGAACCAGTAAAACTCATAATCAAATTAAGTACTCTAGGTAAGAATGCACTGCCTGCACCACAATGAGGTACGGTAAATGAATGTACCTTAGTTCCTCCACAGAATGTCGAAGTTCCACTATCTCTAGCTGGGACTCCTTAACAATATTTTCCAAAGCACCAGCCTGTATAGTCCATCGCGAAAAACTTTCAGTCAAATCAAAAGGAAATACAATACCATCATAAAAAATAATTTGTGTATAAGATGAATAGATTCTAACCAAATTGTATATTTCATCCTCCTCTGTCTCCATCTCATCCACCTCATGACCACCAAGGCCTACAACTTTTTTATCCTCCGCGTGTTTGCTAAATTTGAAATCTATCCCTGCCTTTCTCAAACCATTTTCTGCAGCCTGAAACAAGTCGCTGGTTCTAGAAGATGAGTCTAATGACATCCTCTTTGACAAAGCGCTTCTGAGCAGTGACCCAATCTGCTCTTTCTCCTTCACCAATCTATCAACCGTTTCATTCAGACCCTTCACTTTGCGATTGTTCTCCTCTACCAAATCCTTCGTCTTCGAAATAACAATCCCCATTAAGTCATGAACGGATTTCATTCCCGCCAGCGAGGCATGTACGCTTTCTTCCACATCGGTATCTTGTGGTAAAAATAAAGACTCTGCCAAGTCGGATTGTTCAGAATTACCGGCATCTACAATCCTGATCGCATTACAAGTTCTCTGATGAATCTTCGAAACCTGATCCAATTGTTCGATCAGCAAAGGCCTCTGCGCCTCAATCCTCGATTCCAAGCTCTTCAACTTATCATCGAATTCAACTACTAAATCTCTTAACTCTGAATTCTCCTTTTCCAGCGAACTTACTTTCTCTGACATCTCCCTTTCGGAGCCCGCAACCTTCTCATCCTTCTCGTTCAATGCTCTCTGCAAACTATCCACGGCATTACTTTTCTTGGCAACCTCTTCCCTCAAGCTACTAATTGCCGCTTCAAGCTGCGAAACCTCAATGGCAATCTCATAGTTCCTCTGCTCCATCTGTTCTCTCGCTTCATTTCTGGATTTCGTAGTGGTATCAATCTGTCTGAGGAGCTCTTCAACTATCTCATTAGTCCTCTTAATCACTCCATACGCCACCGCAGGCAATCCCGAGTACTTGTGCGACCTCGGCAATCCTCCGGCGGCGAAATTGTTGAAGTTGCTGACTTTCCCCGATATCTTCTCGATGCCCGTCACGAGCATATGCGCAGAACTCTCGATCTCCGACCGCAGACCATCCTTCACTTTGAGCGCTTCATCCAATTGCTTCGTCACGTCGTCCTTCTGACTCAAAACCTCATCCTTCACCCGATTGGCCTCGGCCAGCTCCGCATCGGCCGCCTCCTTGGATCTCGAGACCTCTTCCTTCTCGCGCAGGGCGTCGTCCCTCTGCCTCCCCCACTCGTCTCGCTTCTTAATCGCCTCGTGCGCGAGCGCCTTCAGCCGATTGAACTGGCCCTGCAGCTCGGACTTCGACTTCTCCGCCTCCCCCCGCGCGTGCCTCTCGCGATCAAGCTCGGCCAGCACCCCGCGGAGCCGCTCCACCGACACGTCGTCCGGCGACGGCTCCTCGACGGCGGCGACCGACACCGGATCGTCCTCCTCCACGTCGCTGAGGACGGCGGCATCGGAGGCGGCGTCCTCGTCGTCGGCGCTCGCCATCGCAGGACCAGGGGGCCGGCGAATCCGACAAACAGGAAGAAGGAAAGAAAGCCTACTCGATCGGGTCAATTACCATGAGTAGCGACGATCGACGTTCGTAAAACGCGACCGGCGAGGCTACCTCCGGCGGCCTGGGGTTTCGGATTGACGAGATAAATTAGCGATTCGACCGGAAACTTCGCCGTGTGCTCGCGGCGGCGATCGGAAGTTCCTTCGCGAGATTGACGATGAATCGCGTCGTGCCGTGAAGAAGGAAAGAGGAAGCAAGAGGCTGCACCAACCGGTCATTGAAGTCTAAAATAATTGAAAACAATAGCGATCGTGTGGTGGCTGGTGCACTCTAAGTTTTATGTGGGCGGACCGTCTGATTTCCGCCACGTCATAGGTTGGGATTCAGGAGCCTGATCCAACGGATAGGTGAGAGGAGGCCCTCGGGGTCGGGGACATACATTAGGATTCGGGTTTTGGCTTTCGGATCCATGTCGATTGATGCTTTGGGGAATCGAGTTTGATCCGCCTAATGCCCGTCGGAGGCCCGGGCGAGCTCGAGCCGATCCGCCCAGCTCAACCAGGTTCGGACTTTGGTAACACGTTAGTCGTACTCTATATAGTCATTTTTTTTTTTTTACGATAAGTGCATTTTAAGACCTAAAACTTATCACGAAAGTACGATTGAGTTTTAAAACTTTCAAAAAGTGCAATTAAGCCCTAAAAATTGTCACAAAGTGTAATGAGTTTTAAAATTTTTAAAAGTGCAAACAAGTTCTAAAGTTTATCAAATTGGTCCAATCAAGTCCTTCTATTGATTGCATTTCTTGAAAGTTTTAGGACTTGGTTACATTTTCGTAACAACTTTTTAGGACTTGATTGCATTTTTTGGAAGTTCTAGGATTCGATTGAGTTTTCGCGTAAGTTTTAGGACTTCTAGTGTACTTATTCCAATTTTTTTTTAATCAAACGACTCAATCTATGTAGTTCAAAGGATATAGTTGCATAGTCTTTTTAGCTAATTTTGTCCAATTCAATTTCTTTTCGTCTGACCTAATCTAGAGGTGATCATTTGCTACTAACTAGAGGGGGTTTTTCAAAAAAAAAATAAAAACACCATTCACTTGATGGACGAATCTAGTTCTAACTTTCGAGTGTCACCAAATGGACCAACTTTCACCTTGTGGAGAAATATGACTCAAACTTTAGGGAGCACATAAAAAAGTACTAACTTTTACCCGAGAGATAATTTTAGCCACTGCTTAGACTTGGCAAATGACGAGTGCCATGTCATCACATGTTGCTACTATAACCAATCGAAACGACATCTTTCATGAGTCGAATGTTACGGCTTAAAATCAGATTGAGTAAGAGAAGGGGATACGCGAATTGGGGTTTGGGATTTTTCACAAAGTTAACGCACATCACCAAATGTATCCCCAGTTTCCCACTTTCAACCTTATTTTGTGAAGAACACTAACCCTAAATCTTAATTCGCATAGCGCGCGCTCCCACCCTCCCACATGAAACTCCTTTCATTGGCTCAAAGCCGCATTGTTTTCCTTTGTTTAGTGGGAATAATATCATTCATACGACTTTGGGTTATCCTCAATGATGTTGTTTCTATCATATGCGAAAGACGACGTCCTTTTGATTGTTTATGTAAGCCACTCAATTGACATGGCACTCCCCTTGTCATATAAATATCCATTTGTCACCTCATATGGCACGTCCACACATATCGATGGAAATTCCAATGATGGTCAAAATTGTCCCTCAAATCAAAGTTTTTGCCTTTTCAATAAGCCCTTGAAAGATTGAGTCGAAATTGTATCTCCGATGAAAGTTCGGGTCAAAATTATCTCCCTAGCAAAAGCCGATCCCTTTTCACGCGTCGCATACAAACTGGGGTAACTAATAACTATAGACCCCCGATATGAAAGTTAGTGCCTCTTTTTGTGAAGAACCCGTAGCAAGGAAGTTAAAGGCCGAACCTCATCCGGCATCAATGGGGGCTTGATCCCGGGCTTAATTCGTTTCCCTAACCCGCCCCAAGTCAATGCACATGGGATTTGCAAGTACTTATTGAAATGGACTGTTCATGATACTTGTCGTCTAAAATCTCAACTCATATTAGCACCTAATACTTATTGAATCTCAACGGGATGTGATATCAGGTTAGATGCGGTCAAATTTTCAAAAATCTTCGGTCAGACTACAAAACTACCTAAAAAGTCAATTGGAATGGACAAAAATATGATCGAATTCCTAATTTAGACGAAAGTAACTCCAAAAAAACTCGATGACAAGAGATAAGCTTCAGAATTGAAAAAGATATTGACAATATTATTCGCATAATCAAATAAATTTCAAATTTCACTTGACACGTGCGAAATTGCTCGTGTAAACGAAACATTGTATAGATTGCATACAAGATAAGAACCCTCAAATTGTATCCTAAAATTGAATCTAAACGAAATTGGGTATCGGGTTTGATACGGTTAAATTTTTAAAAATCTCAAGTCAGACTACAAAATTACGTAAAGGTCAATTCGAATGGACAAAAATATGATCAAATTCCTAATCTAGACGAAAGTAACTCTAAAGAAACTTGATGGCAAGAGATAAGCTTTGGAATTGAAAAAGATATTGGCAATATTATTCGTATAATAAGATAAATTTCGAATTACACTTGACACATGCAAAATTGCCCATGTAAACAAAACATTGTATAAATTGCATACAAGATAAGAACCCTCAAATTGTATCGTCAAATTGAATCTCAACGAGATTTGGTATCAAGTCATATACGGTCAAATTTTTAAATATCTTAAGTCATACTACAAAACTACCTAAATGGTCAATTCAAATGGACAAAAATATGATCAAAATCCTAATCCAGACGAAAGTAACTCTAAAGAAACTCAATGGCAAGAGATAAGCTCTAGAATTAAAAAAGATATTGACAATATTATTCGCATAATCAGATAAATTTCAAATTACACTCGACACATGCGAAATTGGCCGTGTAAACAAAACGTTGTATAGATTGCATACAAGACAAGAACCATCAGATTGTATCCTCAAATTGAATCTCAACGAGATTTGGTATCGGATCAGATATAGTCAAATTTGTAAAAATCTTAAGTTAGACTACAAAACTACCTAAAAGGTCAATTCGAATGGACAAAAATATGATCAAATTCCTAATATAGATGAAAGTAAGTCTAAAGAAACTCGATGGCAAGAGAAAAGCTCAAGAATTGAAAAAGATATTGACAATATTATTCGCATAATCAGATAGATTTCAAATTACACTTTACACATGCAAAATTGCCTGTGTAAATGAAACAATGTATAGATTGCATACAAGATAAGAACCTTCATATTGTATCCTCAAATTGAATCTCAACGAGATTTGGTATCAGGTCAGATACGGTAAAATTTTTAAAAATCTTAAATCAGACTACACAACTACGTAAAAGGTCAATTCGAATGGACAAAAATATGATCAAATTGCAAATCTAGACGAAAGTAACTTTAAAGAAACTCGATGGCAAGAGATAAGCTTTGAAATTGAAAAGGATATTGACAATATTATTCGCATAATCAGATACATTTCAAACTATACTCGAAACATGCGAAATTGGCCATGTAAACGAAACATTGTATAGATTGCATACAAGATAAGAACCCTCAAATTGTATCCTCAAATTGAATCTCAACGAGATTTGGTATCGGGACAGATACAGTCAAATTTTCATAAGGTCAATTGGCATGGACAAAAATATGATCAAATTCCTAATTTAGACGAAAGAAACTCTAAAGAAACTCGATGGCAAGAGATAAGCTCCAGAATTGAAAAAGATATTGACAATATCATTTGCATAATCAAATAAATTTCAAATTACACTCTACACATGCGAATTTGCCTGTGTAAACGAAACATTATACAGATTGCATACAAGATAAGAACCCTCATATTGTATCCTCAAATTGAATCTCAACGAGATTTGATATCAGGTCAGCTACGGTCAAATTTTGAAAAATCTTAAGTCCGTTTACAAAACTACCTATAGAAGGTCAATTCGAATGGACAAAAATATGATCAAATTCCTAATTTAGACGAAAGTAACTCTAAAAGAAACTCGATGGCAAGAGAGAAGCTCTAGCGTCGAAAAAGATATTGACAATATTATTTGCATAATCAGATAAATTTCAAATTACACTCGACACATGCGAAAAATCTTCAGTTAGACTACAAAACTACCTAAAAGGTCAATTCGAATGGACAAAAATATGATCAAATTCCTAATTTAGATGAAAATAACTCTAAAGAAACTCGATGGCAAGAGATAAGCTCCAGAATTGAAAAAGATATCGACAATGTTATTCGCATAATCAGATAAATTTCAAATTACTCCCGACTCATACAAAATTGCCCGTGTAAACGAAACATTATACGGTTTGCATACAAGATAAGAATCCTTGTTTTAAGTGGTATTTTAGGTGGCATGTTGTACCACGCTAACTGCTTTCTCTCGTGGATGCAATAATCTAATTGAAGCCTGTAATGCCGCTTGAGATTGAGGTGACTAAGCAGGCAAACGATAGGAAAATTTCTATTAGAGATAACGTCAATCGTGATGCCTTCACTCTTTTTTTTCCCCCTTCTCTCGAAAATGAAAACCGTCTCTACTGTTTCGAAAGTTCTCCATTCACGCTACAGATCTCAACACGTTTCAAGAGGCAACGGAGCCGTGAGAAAAGGGTTTGAACGCACACACATTTACGCGTTTCAAAAAGGCAAGAGGAGTCTGATAAAGCTGTCGAGAGGGTCAAAGACTCGATTGGATCCTCCTTTTTCTGTGTTGTAAAGCCAAACTGCTCTTCTGCTCTCCTCGTGTTCTACCAAGATCACACTGTTCACCTCTTGCAAATGCACTTCACCCTGCCTCGTAAGCTAACATCTTCAACCGGGTGTTGGCGATCAACAATGCAGTTTATTGCAGAAGTGAGTTAAAATCGCTAAGCAAGAACAGTACAGTCACTTCAACAATTCCACCAATTGGAACCGAACTTACATGGTATTTATGCAAAGGTAATAAATATAGACTCTTAACATTCGTCTCGCGCCTTGGGCAAGAAGGTTAGAAAGTAGCAGTGATGGGTTTTCTAGCGGACGAACTTATGGACACCGTGTCTATATTTATGCAAAGGTAATAAATACAGACTCTAACATTTGTATCGGGCCTTTGGCAAGAAGGTTAAAAAGTAGTAGTGATGGGTTTTCTAGCGGACGAACTTACGGACTCCGTGCATGTGCACTCGCAAAATCTAGACCTTTGGATCTCACGGCTCCATATGAGTCCCGCTTGACTCAAGGATCGAGATTTGGGTGTGAACATGCATCGCGTGCAATCCCGACTGATCATTCTTTAGTAAGTTAACACACATTTTAGGGAATTCCAGTTGATGGCCAAAAGAGAGAAAAATTGATTTCTCACGCTATTCGACTGCGGAGCGTACATTTTCAAATATAACAATTTTATTCAGGGTTAATATCACAAAAAACTTTAAACTGGTACATCTGTTAGGGGTGTGCATGGTCCGGATGGGCGGTTCCCACCCGGAACCATGGACCGCCGCTACGAGACCGGTTCCAAAATTGGAACCGAGAACCGCCGTCGGTTCCATGGACCGCTCGAGAACCGGACCCGGCCTGGTTCGGTTCTTGGGCGGGTCCATGGATCCGCTCTCAACAAGTTTTCCTAGATAAATAAATAAAAAATATATGGACAAACATCGGATCAATAGAACAAAAGGAAAAGAACATAACTTTTCATACAATTCCTACACTATGATCGATTATATTAATCACATCATCCATAAATCAAGTGGGTACCCATTAATTATTGGGAAAAATGACCAAGGTATCCCAACTACACAAGAGCTTGGACATGATAACAAATTTTCTTTCTTTTTTTTTTAATTTTTTTTTGTCGATTTTTTAATTAAAAATAAAAAAAATTATTATATTATATGTCCGGTCCGTCAGGCGGGCGGGTGGGCGGTTCCACACCGGGAACCGCCCAAAGCATGCGGTTCCAAAAATTGGAACCGGGAACCGGACAGTTCCCTTGGGAACCACCGGTTCCGGCCCGGTTCGCGGTTCCAGCGATCCCAGCGGGTCCGGTTCTTTTGCACACCCCTAACATACGTGACAAATTTATCCTAAACTAAATTTTTTATCACAAAAAAGCCAAACTGGTACATTTGTAATAATTTTACCCTCCGTTAGTTTTCGTTAAATTTTTTTATTTGGATGACACTATTTACCATCCGTTTGTTATATCAGTTTTATGATTTTTGGTGATATTAATTCAATTTAACATAGCGTAAATTTGTCACAAATATACCAGTTTAGGGTTTTTCGTGATAAAAAAATTAGTTTGGAATAAATTTGTTATCAATTTAGGGTTTTTCGTGGTATTATCCCTTTTATTTATTTCCTTATCTTTTTATCTTAGAAATTATGTTAGGATATTAGGTTATATGTTTCGATTTTGAGGTCTTACCCATTTAGATATTATAGATTTACTAGGTTAGATTTCCTTATTAGTTTATATAATTCCCATTTTAAAACTAGAATTTCTCTAGGTTCGCTTGAGTTTAGCTATTTCTACCGGTCGCAATTGCCGGAAATTCATTTCCGAGCATTGCAGATGGAGAAGAGAATGACGCGAGAGTCTGACAGGATCAGCCGGTTACCGGGCACATAGTAGGCGAAATCCCGTCGCGCTTGCATTTTGTCGAGAAAGTGGAGGCACAAGTGGTCCTCTATTCCACGACTCGTGTTTGATAACCAATGTACCGGCAGCAATGTTTATGGAGAACCTTCGCAAAACCTGGTGAAGATAATTGACAGGGTGCTAATGCTTCATAGTGGCCCAATAGAGACGTTCGTGCTCTCTAACGTGGGATTTTACACTCTCCGTGACATTGATCACTGGATTCTTCATCTATCCAAAGTCTCCATCAAACAGATCACACTCTCTATCCATACCTGGCAGAAATACCACATTCCCACATTCTTCTTCAATTGCCAGGACTTGATTCTTTTGAAGCTCTACGGTTGTTCGGCAAATACCCCATCTTCGTTTGAAGGATTCGAGAACTTGAGCACTCTGTATCTTCAGCGTGTTGAGCTGTCTCTCAATGGACTTGAGGCTCTAATATTTCGCTGCCCCCGACTAAAACATTTGACTTTGAAGGATCTAGAGGGGATTACACGAGTTGACATTGAAGCAGCTCGCAACCTTGAATCGCTTGACATTGGAGGAGCTTTTCTAAAGGTCACTTTTGGTGTTATGAACCCTTTGAAGTCGGTCACGGTACGGTTCAATGATAATAGTGAAAATAGACATGGACCTGGCAATTCCAACTCGAACTCGAGCCATTTGCATAAATTCTTCCGAGATGTTCACAATATTCAGATTCTCAAGATCGAAAATTACTCTTTGAAGGTACATATTAAGCGCATATATTCTGAACTTTGTTAGGATTTTATTGACTATTACTTTTGCAATGAATAACACCTGATTTTGGCTTAGTTGTGCAGTATTGGGCTCTAGGAGATGTTCCACAGACACCGCCTCATGCACTCGTTCATTTGAAGTTCCTCTCCATATGCATAGATTTCAATAGTAAAGAGCAGATTTTGACTGTTATGTGCCTAATTAGAAGCTCTCCTCAATTGAAAAATGAGAATGATCACCGAAGTGTTTAGCGAACTAATTTAGAATTTTGTTTTTGAAACTATCATCACAAATCTTATTTATTTAATGGGGTGATTTTCCCTCACATTTTTTTACTTGGCAACAAACATAATGAACCAAACGATCTATCACTTTAGACTAAGTAGATTTTACTTAGTAAGTTGTATTATATTTAGCGAAATTTTTTATCATTTAAAGAAAGATAAATAGGTATCAGTAAAGTGAAACTTTATCAAGTCCTAGAATATATTGCAAATTTAATTTTATTCGATTTGATTTTCGGTGATTACCATGTTACTTTTTTGCTACTTTATTCATTTTCGGAATGACTAACGGCATAGTATTTGGTATAGTATTCTGTTTCAGCCAAAAAAAAATATTGTATGTGCAATTTTTTATCAAATGACCAAATTAAGCTCTCTCCACGCATCTCTATATTAAAGTTGCCCTTTGATGGTTAAAGACACAGGATCATCCCAAGAATCAACAAATGACAATGGCCAAATTTTGGAAAGACCATCACCACTCGTATTGCCTGGAACAAGTACAACTCGTATCGATGAGAAATATATATGGCACTGAGCCAGAGCAGGAATTCATGAAGTTTCTGCTTACTAGTTTGCAGAACCTACAAACGATCATCATCCGGCTTCGCGTCGGGATTGTGGAAGGCAAGTTGCTCAGGGAGTTGCTGCGGTTCCGGCGAGCCTCGGTGCAAGCAGAGGTGATCTTTCTCTCACCCATTTCCGATGACACATGGGATTTATAGTCACTCACTGCAACCATCAGACAGTTTGATTTACAAGGATTTTCTCATTCCATATATGTTTTAACAGTTTGCAACTTTCATTATCACTTGGAAGCAAAAGGTTTGCTTTTCTTCTGGCTTTGATTGGCCCTCCGAACATTTGCACGGACCTTCATGGTATGAGTCTCCGCACTGAGCAATTGTCATGCATAGGTGGATTGGGTCACAACATATCCATCAACTACATCTTTCACGTTCTCAAATTTATAAAATGAAATTGGAAAGAAAGATGAGCCATGAAAACCAGTTTTCTTTTGGTCATCTGCCACTGGCACAACCTAAGCACAAACAATGAACCATTTTAAAAAGCACACGTCACAGGATGGGATTTAGGAGTTTGATTTAACGGATAGGTGGGAGGAAGCCCTAGGGACTTTTGGAACTATGGCAAATGATGTTTTGGGGAATTGAATCTGATCCGTCCAAAGCCCGTCCGGAGGCCCGGTTGGGCTTGAGCCAATCCCCCAACTCGATTAGGTTCTGACTTCGATAACACGTTAGGCCCGACCTATATGGTTCAAATGAATATACTTGCACGGTCCTTTTTAGCTAATTTTTTCAATTCAGTTCGATTTCATCCCAACTAAATGTAGAGGTGATCATTGGCTACTAACTAGAAGGGTTTTTCAACGGAAATAGGCACCGGCTTTCACTTGATGGACGAATTTAGTTCTAACTTTCAAGTGTCAAAGAATGCACTAACTTTCATCTCGGGGATAAATGTGGCTCAAACTTTCAAGAGCACATAAATGTACTAACTTTTACCCGAGAGACTATTTTAGCCACTGCTTAAATGGAAAACGAACATTGACTTAGCAAATGACGAGTGCCATGTCATCAAATATTGCTTCCATAACTAATTGAAACGACGTATTTTCTAAGCCAAATGTTAGGGCTTAAAATCAGATTGAGTGAGAAAGAGAGGGGGATACGCGAATTGGGTTTTGGGATTTCTCACAAAGTTAGTGCAAATTCACCAAATGTACCCTAGTTTCCCACCTCCAGTCTTACTTTGTGAAGGACACTAAACCTAAACCCTAATTTGCATAGCGAGTGCTCCCTTCCCTCCCTCTCATTTGAAACTCCAATAATTGGCTCAAAACGACATCGTTTTACTTTGTTTAGTGAGAATAATATCATTTCATATCACTCTAGGTTATCCTCAATTCAATTGGAAATGATATTGTTTTTTTATTATATGTGAAAGATGACGTCCTTTTAATTGTTTATGAAAGCCACTCAACTGACATGGCACTCACCTCACACATTTAAATGGAAATTCCAATGGTGGCCAAAATCGTCCCTCAAATAAAAGTTGGTGCCTTTTCACGAGGCCCTGAAAGTTTGAGTTGAAATGGTATCCCTCATCAAATTGGGTCAAAATGGTTTCCCCAGTAAAAATTGGTCTCTTTTCATCGATCGCATACAGATTAGGGTAACTATTGACCCCCCAGACGGAAGTTGGTGCTTCTTTTTGTGAAGAACCCGTAGCCAGGGAGTTAAAGGCTGAACCTCAACCGGCATCAACGAGAGCCTTAACCCCGGGCTTTTTTCGTTTCCTTAACCCGTCCATCATCCAATATTTCAGATCGAATCGGGCTCCATTAACTAAGGGAGTCTTTTCTCATATTTGCCAAAAAGTGCTCTTTGAACCCATCTGACTAGAGCGGGTGCAAATGACACATTTAATCACATACTCTTAAGCAATTTTGCCACATTCTTGCGTTTCTCTTCGCACGTTTGACAAGCTATGCGTATGATGCCCGTGTAGGATCCTTTCTCGTTGCACTGGGTTGTAAGCCCAAATACCACTCAAGGCCCAAGTTCTTGTCCCTAGCCACCATTAACAGAAGAAATGACAAATGGCTAGATCTAATCAAGTGTCGAAAATTGAAAGTTCAGCAATTATGAGATTGAGCTTGTTTGAAAATATTAATTCGCATCGACTTGATATACTCTATTAAGTTAAAAATTCACTTAGGGTTTGTTTGATTAAACTCAAAAACAAGTGTCGAAAGCTTAAGCACCGAAATTTAACTGCCGATAATTTTAAGAGTGGAAAGAAGAAACAAAAGGTTGCTTGATGATAATTGAAATTTAAGAATTATAAATGTTATCAATTAATTTCTACCAAAGATAAAAAAAAATATGACCATGCATTATCATCACGAAAATGTTGGAGATATTTTGACAGTAATGAAAAGAAAAGGTGTAAAAATGAATAGGGTTATGAGCTTCACTTAAATGTGAAACTGTAAAATAGACCACAACGTCTTGCTCATCAATTTTTCTAAAAGCAAGATAAGATTCAGAGTAACTCATACGTCTGCATATTGATAAATGGATTAGGCACAAACAACTGGGGATGAATTGGTAGCCCAAACGAAAGTTGAACCTTTTTAGCATAAAGTGTTGGGTAGCGTGTGGAACATGTACTGATTTTGCGAAACAATCATGTATATGCAATGTCAGTTATCAACATAATATAAAGGATCTTCAGGAATAGAAGAAATGTAAAACGTATTACCGGGGATAGGCTGGATTCATTTGGCCCATTCCACTCTCCTAGCTCAAATCAAGGCTAGAATTCGTTATGTAATTTTTGAGATGTTACAACGTCTGAAGATATTTCTTTCTACTTCCAACTTTGCTATACAAATACAATCTATCCTCACTACACTTAACACTCTCTTTTCTAATTACAATCTGATTTACACAACTTTTACACATAAGAACAATAAAAAGATGACACTCAGAGTATAGACTAGTTTTCTTCGTTTCTCCTCAACTCTACTACTTTGCTTGGGTTGAATTTGCCATGAGGTCTCAAATACCGCTCAAAATTCAAATCCCAACAGGTAGCATTGGGCTTGCCATCTAGAGCCACAAAATGTCGCTCTATAGCTATGTAAAGATAGTTTTCCAAAATAGTTAGTTCTATTTCTACAACAGTCTGTCGACATCCTCTGTTGCTTATCTGATATGATAAAATTGTAAACTGTTATAATCTTCTCTGGTTTGCTTATTGTGGATTCCAATGCTAAAGACCACCTCTAAAACACCAGTTTGAATGCAAATCAAATTAATAAAGTGTATGGGTCTTCCCTCCAAAATCGTAGAGGCTTGTAGTAACGAGAACACCATATGTAATTAGGTCCATTTAAGCTTGTACAAACGTGAGCTTGTTCTCCTTCTACATTTAGGTATATCTAACCATGTTGATGTCCTTGTATCGTGTTGATTGTTTAGTCCATCCAAACTCTTTGACGATTACACGTTCTCTAGTTTGTTCATCATCCACAAGGTCCATCCAAGCTTATTGGCGTCTTCATTTTCTCTAGTCCATTCACCTTCTATTAGTCAATCCAAATCCTATTAACAATCCCATATCTTCTAGTTTACTGTCCACAAGGTCCTTCCAGACATCGACATATTCCTCATTCTATAACTTGTTCATCATTTGCAAGGTCCATACAATCATCACTAAAACTCATGTTCAATAGCTTGTTCACCTTCTGTAGAGCAGAGGTTGTTCAACACTGCAGGCGTTCTCTTGCCAACAACAATCGCACGAGTCTTTGTATGCAGAGAGGCGATATCTTCTGCATGCTTAATAACATATGTTAGCATACTTAGAATGTTTTGTCACCTCAAGACACCATATGGGTTTTCTCTAACACATATATGAAATTATGTAACGCACCGAATCTCTCCAACTCAAACACACAGCAAACAAACCCCTCACTCCTTTGCTCAGCTTACACATCATCAAGAGTTTATAAAAAAAAATCCGGAAGGAGATAATATCTTTGTCTTGCTCACATATATAAAACAGTGGATTGGAGAAAGAAGCACTCGTTCATATCCCTCAATAAATCATGAAGATTGACAGTTCTTAAATCTTAGCAGAGTAGGATTAACTCTTGCCTAATGACCCTCCATCTTTTGCCCTCTCTCTCTCTCTCTCTCCATAGTTCATTCTTACAAGAAAACGAAAGCAACAATTCAACACTCAAGGAAGCCTAGAACCATCCGTGCGATGAGAGTCCAATTCATTCAATAAACAAAAGGTCCGACGACTTTGGTGTTTTCCCTGTCCGTCCCCAGAGGAAAAGCTGCCTCCTCGATAAACATTAGTTTATGCCAGTTTGGTGTTTGTTTCTGGGTAAAGACAAGAAGAGTGGTCAGCACATGCAATTGCAAGTGTGAACGTGGACTTGTTCCATACGTTTCTTTGGAGTCCATCGAGAGCTTGTGGAAAGTTCGGCAAACCAACCTGTATCCAGCATAAACAATTTAGTTTCAAATGGCGTTTAGGTTTTTTTTTTTTTTTGTAATTTACCTTACGTGTAGCATCTTAAAATTTGATTTTTCTTTTCTAGGTAAATTTCCGGTCAATTGATAAGATGCGCAGTTCGTACTATTTCGAATCTATTCCAAGCTTCATTTGTTTCGCGAAAAATGAATGATTAAAAATGATCACTTGAATAACTTTAAATAATTAATCGATGAAAAATGTTATTATTACTGATAATAATTTATATCTAAATATTTTTGTGAACGATGAAAATATATTTCGTTTATTTATTTTTATAAAAATAAAATCATTATCCGATACCCTTTAGAATGTGTCAACACGTAGGGATGATGGTGACGGAAGATGTGCCAAAGTCAAAAGTGGAGGGCGCATGAACATACATTAGATGTTTCAACATATATGTAACAAATGATAGAATATCGGACCCTCCTCAGGAACCTCGTACATCATCTAATATAAAATGAATTTTCATGCAGAATGAGCTTTTTGGGTGTTCTTTTTTTCTTTTGTGATTAGAAAAATCATTAATACCACGAAAAATTTCAAATTAATATACTTTTTATCCCGAATTATTTTTTTAACTACCAAAAACTTCAAACTGGTATAATTGTAACAATTTTACATGTGATAATTTTACCCTGAA